GCCACTGCCCACCAGAACCTCACCACCTCAGCACTAGACACCATGTCTGCCGAGTCCTGGTCAGTCCCGGGCAGTTGTCAGCGGGGCGATTAGGTTTTTGCGACATCCGTCGCGAGCCGCGTCTACATGGGCACCTCCAGCCTGAGAAGCCAAGGCTGCTGCTTGACGACCGCAACCGTGGCGATGGTGTGAGGGTGTCAGTGACTCGAATACTAGCTAGTGAAGCGCTATGAGTGCCGAGTACGATAATTGAGAATGAGGACTCACTCTGCGCTGTACCCACAGACAGGGAAACCTGCCGGGTACTCAGTGGCTCGTAGGCGCTGCATCGTCAGCTGGGGCTTCTGACGTTACACGCATGGGGGCAACGGCAGAAGGCTGCACGCTCTCCGTCTTTGACTTGTCGCTATTCTCCCAATCATCGCCGTCATCCACCCCGCCACAACATCCACCACAACACGGGCTACAGATGCCCTTACCACTCGTCCCTGCTCGTACGTCAGTCCTGCGGTTAGCGTCCTTCAAATTATGGACTCGCTTCCTATTAGCAAGATGGGATCTAGAATGCTGTACATGCAGACGGCTGCACAGGTAGTATCCTTGTTAAGGCAGGTAGAATGGACTTCCATGAGGGCGTACCGAAACAGTCAGTGCAGCTCTCTACGGTTTCGCAAGTACTCATGGTGAAAAGAGTCCGGGAGAGGGTACGGTCTCGTGCATACGGCTGAAGAGGTTCCTATAAGTGCACTGATGAGCCAACATATATGACGACAATGAGTACAGCGATAGTGATGATGCTGGAGAACGCACTGAAGCAGGTTAACAGACGTGCGGGAGTGCTGTAGGCGCCGTCTTATAGACTATGCTGCCCTTGTACTTTACATTCTCGAGGCGGGTCAAACCCCATAGGACGGTGGAGTGTAGATGCGTGCATCGCAGTAGAATGTCCAGCAGAACAGATGTCAGAACCCGGCGGGAACTGAGTGACGCACACTGGGGAACTGTCCCTTGGGTATCTTGCCTTGCTTGAGTCGGAGATGGATGGGCAGGTTACCATAAGGCATGAGGTATTCGGAGCCGCTCTTTCTGCGGTACTTAGACAAACACGCGTATATGATTGCCGTGGAAAACACTGATAGGAACGTGGATAGTTCACTGTGAAGCCTCCGGAGTTCATCGTCCGCGCATTAATACAGACAACGTAGATATCAATCAGATTCTTGAGTCCTCATTCTATATGACGTAGGTTATTAGCATTCTAGGACTTTTTGTGACATGAGATAGCATGTACCTTCCAGCAGGAAAAAGGCTATGCCTTGACTTAGCCACCACTCGCAGGCGCCGAACTCCCCGCTGGTGCCTCTGGCGTCGTGCGCATGGGAGCGGTGGCCGTCGGCTGACCGGTAGGCCTATTGACGGCGTTTTTGGGATTGTCCCAGTCTTCGTCGCCGTCATCGACCCCTTTACAGCATCCGTTACAACACTTGGCGCAAACTCCCTTTCTGCTTGTCTCTGCGTGCACGTCAGTAAAAGCCCGTCAGGCGTGCCGAAGATTGAAGACCTACCTCCCGTTGTGCATACAGGATCAAGGATGGAGTATAGGCAGGCGGCTACGACACATAAGTTCATGAGATCGTTTGCTGGACAGAAAAGAACACAGGACGTACCGAAACAACCTCCCGCTTCGGCACCAGCTTCGGCCATTATTCAGAGAGTGTGCAAGCTACGCGACTGGGGGAACTTGGATGCTAGACGCGGTTGTGGGAGTTGCTCGTACTAGAAGCCGTACTCTTTATACTGGCGAAGTGCAGTGCAATTGACTTCAGTGACGGTGGTGGTAGTTGGAGTGAGAGCTAAGGCGGAGGTTTAATTGACAACCAATGCAGTGCGATAATCAGGATCAGGCAAGAGAAGCCAGACATAGCGTCCGTGCGTGCATAGCGTGGCCGACTGCAACCATTCAATGGACAGTGGAATGCACACGGAAGGTATGGAAGATGCATGTCCGGAGCAAGTCTGGCCGAGTGCGTGCGATAGGACTCGGATAGCCTAGATGGGAACATCACGGCAACGCGGCGCGCCTCGACAAGTCGACGTCACGGAAGGCGGCGGGCGTCGGGCTTCGGCGCGTGCCCCTGATCCGTTCGCGCGCCGCGCCTACTCGAGTATAAATCTCTCGGACTTGGACGGTCAGGATCTTTCTTCAACTCACCTCCTCCATCCATCTATACTCGACATGGGTCTCCTCGACATCGTAAAGGTACGTGTCTGAGTTGCGATCGTACAGTGGTGAAAATGCTGAGGCGATCTTGATAGCCCGGCGTCGTTACCGGCGACGACGTCCGCAAAGTCTTCGACTACGCTAAGCAAAACAACGTATGTATCCTGCATCCTTGCAACCGAATGACTACTGACGCGTCGTATAGTTTGCCATCCCCGTAAGTCACACTCCTACACAAGTCCGATACTCCTGATCTCAAGCGCTTGTTTTATAGGCTGTTGTAAGTCCGATTCCGCCTCTTTTGCGAAGAGCGAATAGCTGAAGTCCGATTGTACAGAACGTCACCTCCTCTTCCACCGCCAACGCCGTTCTTGAGGCTGCTCGGTGCGTTACGTCTTAGGATGTATCTTTGATGTCGGGCTGAAGCCTCGAGTAGCGATTTGAAGTCCCCCATCATCCTGCAGGTGTCGCAGGGCGGCTCTGCCTACTTCGCAGGCAAGGGTCTCGCAAATGACAAGCAGCAGGCCTCGACCACCGGTGCCATCGCCGCCGCCCTCCATGTCCGTACCGTAGCCAAGGCTTATGGCGTGTGAGTATTTTCCTACTCGTTCTGCTCAAGTCCGATTCGCCCCCGGCGCGCCTCCTCTAACAGCGCACCTTCCTCTGGGCGCTCTGATTGGTCCGCCGGTACGTTTCGAGCATAGGCGCTACGATCTTATCGTATTGGTTGATATCGACTGCGGGCGAAGTCGGACTTCTCTCGTTTCTTGTGGCCCGCCGTATGACCCGGAACTGAACATGTGTTTCCGCCGTCTAGGCCCGTCATCATGCACTCCGACCACTGCGCGCACAAGCTGCTCCCCTGGTTCGATGGCATGCTCGACGCCGACGAGGAGTACTTCAAGGTCCACAACGAACCCCTGTTCTCCTCGCACATGCTCGACCTCTCGGAAGAGTCCAAGGAGGACAACATCGCAACGTGCGAGAAGTACTTCGCACGCATGGCCAAGATCGGTCTCTGGCTCGAGATGGAGATCGGTATCACCGGTGGTGAGGAGGATGGTGTCGACAACACTGGCGTCGACAACAACTCGCTCTACACCCAGCCCGAGGACGTCTACGACGTCCACAAGGCGCTGAGCAAGATCTCGCCCAACTTCTCGATCGCCGCTGCCTTCGGTAACGTCCACGGTGTCTACAAGCCCGGAAACGTCCGCCTTCACCCCGAGCTTCTTGAGAAGCACCAGAAGTTTACGAAGGAGAAGGAGTCGTCAAACTACGAGCAGCCGCTGTGAGTATCGCTCACTCCCACGATCGCGCCTTGGCGTATCACCAAGCTCATCCCCGCTCTACAGCTTCCTCGTCTTCCACGGTGGCTCCGGCTCGACCAAGGAGGAGATCAGCACCGCCGTCAAGAACGGTGTGGTCAAGATGAACGTCGACACCGGTACGTTTCACCCTTCACCGCGCTCCGCTCCGGCCCGCGCGGCCCGCTCACATTTGAACCGCAGACACCCAGTTCGCGTACCTCGCGGGTATCCGTGACTTCGTCCTCAACAAGAAGGACTACCTCTTGAGCCAGGTCGGCAACCCCGATGGCGCCGACAAGCCGAACAAGAAGGTGTGTTCCCCTTGCACTGATCTTGGGTAGAGGGCGCGGCTAAATGAGATGCAGTTCTACGACCCCCGTGTCTGGGTTCGTGAGGGTGAGAAGACCCTCACGGCTCGTGTCAAGGAGGCCTGCGAGGACCTCGGCAACGTCAGTAAGTACCCTTCACCCTCTTTTCCCCGTAAGAATCATGGGCTGATGCATCACACAGACCGCCTGTAATCGCTCGACGTGTTCGCTGTCCGCCATCATTGAGTGCGAATGTAGCTTTAGGGGGAAGAGAAAACCAAGTGTAGTACTAGCCTATAGATCGTGTAACATCCTACCTGCTTACGGATGATCACTTGTTGTACAAATCGCTCGGTTAGTGTGATCCAGAGTACAACCGGCCACCTTGTTTGTCAATCGCTAGCCAGAGTCGCCCAGTCGAGCTACCAGCGGCGCTTGGGTGGGCACGAAGGATTTCTCGCATCGCAGCTTGTCAATTTCCATCTGTGCTGAGATGAAGGTCAGCCACACTAGCTAGGTGTTGCCCCTTAGAGATTCCGCACAGAAAAAAAAATACGAACTAGGCTGAGGTAACAAGGCATGTGATCGCGTTTAGCGACGCGTCGAGAGTGACCGCGCGTCAAGTTCGCGTTTCGTCTCTCGCCACATTGACGCATCATCATTATGTCTGGCAAAATAATAATCAAACCGCGTCAAAAACGACAAGCTGCTGGCTCTCCCCCTGCCGCATCGGAACCAGGACCATCGCGCGCCTACAGTCCCAAGCGTGAGACTCAAACACCCGAAACGCCAGCCGCAGATGACTATGTTATGGACGAGGATGCGCCCGAGGCACAAGAAGAGGAGGATGGAGATGACGCCGATGTCGTGCTGGAAGATGAGGCGGAAGAGGACGCGTACGACGAACCGGAGCCCGTGCCGATGAAGCGCCCGCGAGGACGGCCACGCGGACGTGGTCGCGGTGCACTCGTCGGCAGCGCACGTGCTACGCCCGGCAGAGGTCGAGGAAGGGGAAGAGGCCGTGGTAGAGGGAGAGGTCGCGCCGTGACTGTGAAACTGCCAGGAAAAGGCGAGGGCTCAGAAAACGAGGGAGAGGTCGAGCACGAGGTCTTTATCGAACAGGCGCCGCCATTCGTCACTGTTCATGGGAGGACTTATCCCGTCGAGGGAGACGAACTGCAATGTGACGACGATCCTATCGGAGAAACGAAGATTGATAAGGACGGGAATCTACAAGGCGGTCGTAGATTCAAGGCTGGGACGTTCCTATTGCCTACGCGCCACGCGACGAAGAAGTTTATGCTCGCTATCGACGCCGCTCGTACATCAGGCTTCCGCGACTCCTTATACTATTTCCGAAGGAATCCGCTCGCGTACAAGCTCAACGCGACCCAATGGGAGAAGGAGTATCTCATCGAACATGGCAACCTCGGAACGCATTTGCGCACGCGTTCTGTGACTCTCGTTGCTGCAAGAACCGTCTTCAAGCTTCACGGGTCGAAAACCATTCTCGGTGGACGATATGTTGTTGACGACTATTACGAGGAGAAGGCAAAGGTTCTGGCAGCTGAGAAGGGCGCACAGCCAGGAGACCCCGTACTTGAGCCTGCAGACGCCTCAACGAACGCGTCCGCTGCGGATATGGCAGCTATCGCCGCTGCCGGCAAGAACGAACGCGGAGGTGGACTGGGGATGTACCGCGCCGGTGGTCCGACAACGCTCTTCGGTGGACCTGGTTGGGGGCCGTACTCTGATGGCCCGTTGAACGCCGTACGCAAGAGTCTCCTCACACGCGACGGAGTAAACGAGGAGAACTGGATGGCGGTCGCGGCGCAGCGTACAGCAGACGCAAGCGCGCAATGGGCTGCTCAACGAAAAGCGCGTCTAAAGCCTGCAGGTGGCCTCGTTTCGGAGAAGCGCGAGATGGAGGAGGGAGAGTCTGACGCCGAAAGTGCGCACGCGCTCGGGGTATACGAGCCTCATACGCACCTCGTCTACAGTAAGTTGAACATGCAAACGTGGGCGCACACGAGACTGACTGTTTACACAGCTCGCGACGACAAACAACCCACGCGTGCACGTTGGGAAGCCGCACCGGACTCTCTCGAAAAGCAAGTGTTGAGCGGTACAAAGGCGGGCAACGGCGCATGGGCGCTTGCCTGGGTCGATACAATCATGGAGGTACCCGCCCAACAAGACGAGGATAGTATCGTCGTCAAGCCGCCCGTCTCAGCGTCTACAGTCCCTACATCCGATCCTCCGGCGGCTCATTGAGCTTTGGCACGTCATCGAGTCGTACCCTGTATCTGTTCGCTCATTTTTCTTGATATAATTCACCTTGTTGTAACGCCAGTATGCATTGTATGGATGCTAATGTGGATGAGACGGTTACGCAGGCTGACCAACTACCGAATGTGTTACACTAAATCAAGCTTCTCCTCAAGCACGCCATATGCATATGCCACTGCTCAGACTTGCACAAGCGGCCATGTCTGCTGCACGAAGTTCGGTCGCGTAATCCATGCTTTTGGCCCACAATCCTTTGCGAGTCGCGCAGGTAGCGTGGTGGCCCTCTTCTTGGCTTCGATATACTGTTGACTAGTAAAAACGAGCATGCTGGCCCTGCACCGACTGAAGAGGACTGTCGCTGACGCACTGGTCGTCCCTGCATCGCTGCCCAGGAAGACAATGATATGATCCGCTTCTCCACCATTCAGGTCTTGCATAGTGACGCAGAGGAAGGGACTCAACCCCGCTTCCTTCAGCTTCTCCGCGAGAATATCGCGGGTGCGCTCGCTGTCTGCGACGATTCTGAAGTTTAAGCCTTCCCTGGAGTATCGTTCAGCCGCTATAATGACTGCTTCCTCGTCGTGTGGGAGCTGAATGAATATTGTCAATGCGAGATTGCAATGAAGGCGAGACCACCAAACTCATCCTACATACCCGACGAGGCGCTTCTGTATCACCAGAGCGAGACTTTTTCTTGCTGTTCGCAGTTGCGGCCTTCGGTGGAACGTCGACAAACCGGCAGACAAGCCATGGCTCCGACGTATTGTGTGGTGAATGTACAATGCTATCGTTGTACCCATGGCGCGAAAGAAAATCGGAGATGGTGTGAGGCATGCGATCTATCCCTTCGTCAGGGAGAAGGCAGATATCAATGTACAGGATCACTCACATTGGACATCCAACTTCAGGACTTCCTGAAAATGAGCAACATCGAATATGCTCCGGACTGATGGTGCGTCGCGGGACGGTTCTGCCAGATGGAAGAAACGCCATTAGTTCGAGACGTAAGGACTGGATGTTCGTTACATACGTTGTTCCATGTCGCCGACGAATACGAGCCGCGCCAATGTCGACGAATGACCGTGAATGAGAGGAATGTAGTCGTTGAGGTCGATCTGGTCTGCACCATCAACGACGACCGTCTGTACGGGCAACGCTTTCTTCAGTTGACGCAGCTGCCTATCCGTCACACTCGCTAGAGCACAGATGATCACTCGCACTCCGTCCGATGTCAAGAGCTCTACATCCGAACTGGTCGAACACTCGTCCGCGGTTAGCCTGTATGGCTTAAGTCCAGGATACAGTGCTTCATATCTGTCAAGTACGTGAGCTATCAGGACTTCAAAGCGAAGGCAGTAGCGTTTACCTGGCATTGCCTCCGGACAGTAGTCGGAAGCCACGGAATCCACTCGACAGCAGTCTGGACGCGGCTGCCCAGGCGACGACATCTGACGGGGTGAGTACCCATATCGACCGCGTAGCTGCCGCCGCAGCACACAACGCCGCAATTGTTGTCGTCTTTCCGGTCCCTGCAGACCCGTGAACTAATAGAATGCGGTTTGTGTCGTTCTCGTCCAGCGCGCGTCGTACAATGTTTGTTTGAGCATCATCGACATTCGAAACGTTCTCAACAATGGCCGAGGGTGGCAATGCAGGTGCCGCCCTCCAAAAGTCGTCAGTCTTGATGTGGACAGGCGCATCAGGGGAGAAGATGGCGCGGAATAAGACGATGCTATACAGCGAGGATGGATCGACAAGAGCATTGGAAATGATCTTCATGCGCAAAGAGCCGGCGGCGGCGCCACTCCCGTCCTGCTGTCCTTCGTGGAAGATCCGGGACAGAGCATCAAGCTCCTGATTCGTCCGTTCAGCTCCTAGCACACGTAGCGTATGAGGAGGGTACAGACCTTTTCAGATGTGGCAGTATTGTCTACCACCCGAACATGACCGAGAGCTTCTGTTTGCCCAGCACGCACGGCAATCGCACGAGCGAGCCATGCTTGCAGGACGGCTCGTCTTATCACCGGGTGGTCCATAGTGAGCTGTTGCACTTGCGTCTCGTTGGTGAGGGCGCTTTGCAGGGCTTTGGGGTCGACATCTTGATTGGCCATGTTGGCTCGTAAATGTGCTAAGACACGCGAGAATATATCGCGTCCGTGCGATTGAGACGGTGCCGCTGAAACAGACGATACATCTGCAAGGTGCGCGACGCGCAAGCCCAGGTTAGCGTAGACAGAACCGGTCAGAGCGTCTGCATCTATAGCAAATTTGCGCTCTATGGGAGGCGTGTCCTGGCTGAGAAGCAAGTTCCTGAGAAGAACGCGACCTCGAGTCTTGTCTTTTCCTTTCTTTCCCTTCAGGTTGACGCGCCCGGTGGTATCAGAACCTTTCAGACTTGGATCCAGGAAGATGACGAGAGCCGTAGTCGACGTGGCAAAGACGAGTGCATGCAGTTTACGCTCGGCGCCACGATGAAGATCTCGTGGCGCATATTTAGACAGCTGCTGTGATGGGGGATGAACGAAGACGGGCGCTACTCCAAGCGCATCGGGCAATCCATCACGAGTGGGAGAGATGGTCGAAACGAGGTCCTTGATGTGACCGGAGGTGAGGAAGTGTTCGTGTACAGTTCTCACGAGCAGGTCGGATCCCTGCCCAGAGCGCGTGATGATATTCTGGGGCACAGAGAATGACGACTCAGATGCAGGGGATTGCATCGTGAAGGATTTTTTCCCGCGAGGAGCCGGCGAAGGATGAAGGTGAGGTGCAAAGCAGAGTGCGCGCCTTTTATACACCTTCGCCACAAAGATCGCGTGATGTGGGACGGAAATCTGGAAGAAAACGCTCAAAAAGACATTACACGTGAGTTCGAGCGCTATCCTTCGGCGGCCGGACAGGCATGTAGAAGTAGCCGATCATGAGGATATGCTCATGGTGGTATGACCAAAGCGGCGTCTCGCGAGTCTCAGACGCTCTGTTTGCACGTGCAAACCCTAACCCTAAGTGCAGCAACTGGTGTATCGGCTAAAATAACACTACTTAAGGATAGTAAGAAACCAAGAGTACGCCACATGTAGTCGGTAGATACACAAGAAGCGATATATCAATTGATAAAGGATACGGTTGTTTCCCCGCGAACATCGCCCCATACATCCAGATCTGCGAGTGCGCGATCCACAAACAACCCTACAAGGGGCGAACCCCTTTCTCTGCGCACATCCAAGAACTCGAGGAATGCCATGTCCAATGCAGCGTGGTAGTCTCCCATCGTCTTCGGCGGAGTTCCTCCTTTGTGGAGAACGACGTGTTGCAAGCGAGGAAAGAGTGGGAAGGTGCCGTCCGCGGCTTCGATGTGCGCCAAGGCGTAGAATAGTTGCAATCCGCTGAGGTACGGAATCGAGATGCGCTGAACGTCTTGAAGCTGAGGGAAGTAGTTTTGCCAGTAGCCGGACGTGTCGTAGTATTCGACGGCATCTGGTGAAAGAGACATGGCTTGTATGCGGCTCAAGGGCAAATGGCGAACGAAAGGGGCCAGATTGCCCCAGGCACTTATACGCCTGCGACCCTTGGTCTCGAAATCCCAGTCCCCAAGGTCGTTTTCGGCGAGGTTCAACGGTGAGTCTAGCGATCGCGGCTCGCCGACTGCGTAGTATAGAGCCAACCTGGTCTTATTGAGGATCTTAAGGCCAAGTGCCGGATACGCGACGCTGTCGAGCTCCCTGAGAGGTCGAAGAATGAGGTCGCCGCTGGGATCATGGTGTGTAGCGGAGGCTAATGATGAATTGAGGTGGCGAAACCCAATTTCTGTCGTAGCCTTGGCGGTAGGAGGAACACGAAATGTATCCCAGATCGTCCCGTAGAGAGTGAGAAAAAAGCCTGGGCTACTGCACTGAAGGCGCATCTCGAATTCATTGAAACTGGGCGGAAATGTGTAAGGTGGTACTCTGCTCGTGCCGTTGTTTCCGCGGGGAAAGATGTCCTGCAACTTTAGGAACTCCAGGGAAGTCATCGCTGATATAAGGCCACGGAAGGTCGCAAGGTCAGGTAGGCGTATTGAATCCTCCTCTAGCATTCGAGGAAGTGTCAGCTCAAGGTGAGTCAGATCCTTCGAGAATAGTGGTGACGACCACGTTGGAAGGCAACCGTGGAGACGAAGACGCCGCAGAGCCGGAGGATGTTCACCCGCCAACGTTTGTTGAGGAAGCATGACTACGCCTCGCGGATCTTTATTCTTCATGATCATGATACGCAACGACGGCATGGGGGCATAGAGGGAGGCTATCCATCCGCTCATCAGCGGAGTGTCACTCTGCACAATGAGTCTCTCAACGCGGTTGAGGACAGGCCGGCTCAACCAGCTGTTTATGATGAAGGCGCGCGCTTCGCTGGGTTTGTATTGCTCCACCACGTGCAGACTAAGCGGGAGACGCTCGGAGCGGCGGAGAAGGACGGTTGCCGCCCGAGGTGAGAACCGCGTGCAGCTGATAGTCGTCCATAATTGAGGCGCACCAAGAGCGACCTAGGAATGTTGTCAGTCACTGAAATACTATGGCATAGAATCTGAGGCACCTTTCTCCATTGGCTACATGTATGCGTGATATTGAGCCACCCTAGATCATACGGAACGGCATCCGAAGTTGACGGCTTGCCTCGCCGCCGCTGTGGTTTCCAGTCTTCTTGCGCGAATAGGAAGATTTCGGTGAGAACCTCCGCGGGTAGGCGACCCAAGCTCGTGGCTGCGTTGCGACGCTGCCGCGCTATAGCGGCGTACTTTTGCAGTACGTCAAGCTCTAGCTCAAGTATTTGAAGACGATTTGCTGGATCGCCATTGACCCCCTGGTCTGCAGACGGCTCAAAGCGCGTCCGTATGAATTGAGACCATGCTTCGCTATGATATTATGTGTGAGATGCGCCCATCTGACGATGAGGCATATCGAGTACTTACTTTGCTGTCTGGGAGTACGCAGTCGCGTCGTAGGACATGGTGGGAGTTGGAAGCAAGATGCGTGCGAGAGTCGATGTCACGTTCAGACCGCGTCCATCGGGCGTCATGCTCACTTCTGAGATCTGACCCCGCGCACACAAACGTAGTTGATTGGGAGTCCACAACCCCTCGTGAATAATTCTAAGCATACGTAGTAACATCCGACGCAGAACAGAGCAAATGTTCGATCCAAAATTCAGGAGGAAGATGCAGCAAGCGGGTAAGGAAGCGCGAGAATACCGATACACAACCACAACAAAGCAAGATGTATGTAAATTGCGCCCTGTCCATAGGGAACAGAGTGTATCCGTAACAGTGCAATGTACGGCGTGCGAAAATATGTGTGTAGATGGGGGATCGTGAGAGTCAGTACAAAGCGAGCTATGCAAGATGAATCCAGTAGGGGAATGAATAGATGGAGGCGCAGTCAGATTGAGCAAAGAATCAAGGCAGCGAGAATGCGATGGGTTATGCGGATATAGTCGTCGCGTTGATCCGCGGCGTACTAGGTGCAGACACCATCTCGTCCTCAGTGGAGGTCATCGTCCCGGCGGGAGAATCCGTGCGAGGACCATCCAGTTGGCCGAACTCTGACGCTACAGCCGACTGCGGGAACTGCGACTGCGCTGTAGCAAAGGTAGCGACCGAGTTGATCGAATCCGTTCGGGATTCTGGGCGGTTGGGCATCGTCGCAGACAAGGGAGCCTTGAAGGCAGTCGGAGGGGCGTTGGATGGCACAGGGTTGGATTTGCGCGGCCCAAGGGCTTGCGCAGGGGTTGTGGTGAAGGTGGGGATCGCGGCGGAGGGTACAGAAATGGGGGCAGGAATGTGCTTGTCAGCGGGAGAAGTTGGCGTTGGTGAGGTCGCAGAAGTTGAGGGTGAGAGTTCAGGTGTCGCAGGGATGGTTGAGGTAGATGAGCTCGAAGCCTGTGCCTCCATTTTCGGAGCGCGCACAGTGATGGTCGATGCACGGGTAATTGTACCATCCGTAGACTCAGCGCGGTGACCCTTGACGGTCATGACGGATGAGCGCCCGATGGTGGAACGCCCACTGATTGTGGCGTCCTTCCTGTGCGGGGTTGAGGGCATGAAGTCGTCGGCTTCCTTCTCATCGCTGGTTTCGGGTGCCGTAGATTCCAGTGATGTATCGGGAGTGTCTGTCGGGGCTCCTGTGTCTAAGCTCGCGTCCGGAGACATACTCGGCGCTGAGGTAGAGGTCGAAACGTCAGCACGGGAAGTCAAGTCCTGGGACTCCGCATTCGCAACGTTGTTCAGGTGCGAGCGCGGGCGCATGAGAGTCGGACTTTCGCGGGCGGCACTGCTCGGACTCGGCAAGCCATCGATGCTACGGCGAGTGTCAAGGCTCCGACGCGAGTCTATGCTCGGACGCTCCTCGTAATCCGGAACGGGCTCAGCAAGGTTCACACGACTTGAGCTGGCATGATGATATGCCACGGCAGCGTCACCAAAGGGCACACCGAATTTGGCCACGGCCTCGCGGGACGAGATGTACTTGATCTGTTCCGCTGTAGGTCCCGTGCGCGGGTAGACGATGTCGGTGCGCACCGCGGTGTGCGTGAGCGGCGCCGAAATAGAGTGGACGGACAGCATGGACGGGGACGTCAACGGGCCGGCGTTAGACACACGCGACGTTGTTCGATGGAAACCGGATGACGCGAGGCTGAAGACAGAGCCAGTGGACTGCGAAGGGCGATGAGATGTAACATTCTGGCGGGTGCTCAAACGGGATGTTGAGGCCCGCGGAGGGTTAGGTTGCTCCTGCTGTTGCGCTTCCGAGTCCGTAGGTTGCGACGTCGGTTGGTCGTCATGACGTGCAAGCGGGTTGAGAGCGTGTATCAATCCGCGGAAGACTGACCGACGTCGCACGGTCTCGGTAGCAGGTGCAGCGGTGGTCTCGGGCAGAGGTGCTACTCGGTCGTCCTCCGACGAGCGTGTCAAGGCAGGAGCGATGGGTAGGGTGTCGTGAGTATCAATACGTTGGAGGCCGTCAGGGCTGTCGAGCACCTCGAAGTATGGCGGAGCTTCGCCACGCGGGTCGTTACCGCCTTGCTCGGGCTCCGAAGAGAGCAGATTGGTATTGCTCGAGTTGGTAGCACGCGCGGCGGTGGTCGTGAGGGGTGATAAGGCGTTATTATGATGGCTGTTGTCGTTAATGTTTTCGTCGTCAGAAAGTAAAGGTGTAGATGCGTGAGCTCCGGACTCGACGTTCACGTAGGAAGACTCGCGGGAGTGTGATCGTGCACGTTGAGGATCATGAGAATGGCCACTGTCAGATTCGCCCTCCTCCACAGCAGGCATGATGAGTGCCGTTGCGGCAGGTTCGTCCTCGAGCTCTTGCGAACCTCTGTGACAGCAGTTAGCCGCCGGACACCAAGATAGGAACAATCCATGGAGGAAATCGAGAAGCAGGATGGTATGAATTCCCGGTACCGCATACAGACCGCCGGGAAACAATGGCGCAGCACGAGAGCAGCGCGCTCGCAATTGACAGAAGCTGTCTGGCCTGATAGGAAGTCCGCTTATCTCTGACATGGAAGAAGCTAGCGTAGGGCGCTTCTGGACAGTCACAAGCCCAGAACGGTAAGACGGTACTCACTGGATGATAACCAATTCGTGGTCACCCGCCTCTTTGGCATAGACGGGCAGGGATGTGGTCGACATTTGGCTGGGTGTGCGGCGGTTACGCCTTGGTCGCCGGGTCGTCACCGCTGGTGCGGGTGTCCCGGTCATCTCAGCCGCGGTGAGCTCGCGGGGGCCATCGCTTGCGCGTGCTGTCGTCGTCGCAGGAGCTACCACACGGTTATTGAATAGTCGTTTGAAGCCAGAGCCGATTTGTGTCCGAAAGCGGACGCTGAGTGCAACGACTACAAGGCCGACTACAACGACGATAGGGACCTTGTGGGCGACACGTGAACATCTGGCGTATATCATGCAGCTTGATAATGCACATACCGCTATGCGTACAGCATTCGACCCCCCGTCGTCGTCTCTTCGTGCGAGGCGCTGAGATGACTGGAGCAGTGGAGCAGCGACGGCATGATGTGCGGCGGCGAGCAGGAGTACAGGTTGTATTAGACTTGGAATTGTTACAAGGGACGTCATGAAGGGCGTATGTAGGTGAAGGTAGAAGACAAGAGTGGGAGACAGTAGAGTAGAAGGAAGACCGTGATGGGCGAAACTAAGCGCTCGAGCGGCTTGAGCGCGCCGAGACGCGCCGCGCGCCTTTGCGACGGGCCATGCGTCCGGAATCGCGTCTTGCGTCTGACCGCCACATCATTAGGCCACAATTCCCTCACTCCGACTGGGAGAAGCGCCAGTTTTCCTTCCGCGCACACACATCACTCAAACTAGATATGCTGCGATAGTGGTACCGCTAGATATGGCATCCTCGTTTTCGTGCTCGTATATGCATTGACAAGACTCGTACCTCAACGTGCAGGTGTGCATCGGACCATGGCTAATGGGCCGCTTTAGACCCATTGAGTACCGCAGGCGCTTCGGGGTCGCGTGCCCGCAGCCGCCTCCCATGATGACCTCGCTCAGCGCCTAGGCATGGCGCGTCGTAAAACACAGAGCGCTCTGGTCATCCGGGGGTCCAATCCGGTTGTCAGTCAACGGCATCATTGCTGACTGGGATACTTCATCGTACACGTACAATGCTCGTATGATCAGAGCTTATATGCCGATACCCTTGTTGTCCTATATACCGATATATACTATATTTTCTCAAAAGAGCGTCAATCTGCCCGAGAACGAGTACGCGAGGACGTCATCGCTATGACTTTCGCCTCCACAGTCATGATGAAATGATACCCGAATCAGGGCTGTCATTCAGCTCACGCCCTACATAAGCGTCTGCAAAAAGATAAATAACTAAGCCTGATAGGAATTCTCTGTGCACCGCCTTTGTTTGGATGGTGCTATGCATTTCACGTGGGTTGATCGAGCGCCCACTTCCTGAAACGGCTAGCGAGTGGCGAGCCACGCCTTGCTCCCAACGCCCACTGCCTTCGTAAACCCGCCACAACCACGCTGCATCACCGCTGTTCCTTTACTTTACTGGAGCCGTCCCAAATACAACCACACGATAACCTATCATGCCTGTCAGGCAGCTCGGCTATGAGGTCTCTCTTTGGTCCGATGGCGCTGAGATTCCCGCATACAAAGTCGAGAACGTGAACGACAAGACGGTTACTTGCTATATCCCAAGCGAGGCGGGAAAGGTTCTCCACGCTGTCGTCGGCTCTTCTAGGCATATTGCCTGATCATACTGCGTTTCTACTGTAGGAGTTTACCGTGAAGTTCCGCAACGAGCCCGTAGTAGGGTACGGTGCCGCATTCTACGTGCATATGGACGGGCGCGAGATGCAAGGGCTATCCGTATATCCGTACGAGTGTACGACGATGAAGGGCGTGTACGAGACACTGAGCGCTATACGGCCATTTGAGTTCGCAAGGCTGAAACTCAAAGGCGAGTATGACTCTCTTAGGTTCGCGACCATACCCTTACGCTCCCTTCGTAGAGGATGATGAAGAAGGAGGCGAATCCTCGACCTCGGTGGATATGGCGAAGCTTGGTCTGATTGAAGTCCGCGTATGCCGAGCGACGCTCACTCCGGACGAATATGGTTCGGGCGAGTACCGGCCGCGTAGCGTTCAAGCGGAGCTGGACGCTGTATCAGAGAAGGCTAAGAAAGTCGGTTGGCACAGTGTATCGTGAGTGAGCGCGCTGATCAGCGAGGTCTTCTCGGCTGACACTCAGAAAGGCTTGGAAAGACGAAGGCCCTCGCAACCGCGGCTAATGTCCCTCGTATAACCTATATCGATAACAAGGATCAACCATATGCCATCTTTCGCTTCCGATATCAACCTAGAGGTATGCTAGTCCAGAATCCCATGTATTTAAATGCATCTCACTCGACGCTATCTCAGAAATCCTTGAAGACCAGGGCATCATCCCGGCTCGGCCCCGCTCCTCGACGCTTTCACCAGGACCCTCCACAGGCAAACGCTCGCGTCAAGATGACTCTTCAGATCGTCCACACAAACGGCGAGCATCAGTCAAGGCAGAGCCAGGGCCAAGTGCTCGTGTGAAGCGGGAGGCGGAGGTCGTCGATCTGACAGGTCAGCGGGAGCCTTCGCCGATACGCGTTCCGGAGGACGCCCAGGGAGAAGTTTTCGACCTCACGGACGACTGAGGAACCCCCGTCGGTTCATCTCTCGGGGAAGGATCTTTGAACTATCTTCGATGGGTTCTGGTGTCTGATTCGCTTACATTTGTACTTCGTACCGCACTTAGCATAATCTATTGTTGTATTACTGTTGTATAGTATAGGATAACGACAGGCTCGGCACAGGACGTGCGGTACGTATCACGGCCGGCTGTGTATGCTCGTAGCCAATCAGGATCACGATAGCGCTACCACGTATCGGAGCTACTGACGTTCATCTGGTCCCAGAACACCGCATTCAACGCGCAACCTAAGCGCCAAAGGCACTATCTGGCCGGCGGTTCTCGGAGGTGCGGTGGGCGTTTCAGATAGAGCAATATGCTGAATCTGTTCAGCATGAAATGGGCCGAGAGAGTAAGAATGTCGTCGGATTGTCGTCGCGCGTCTCAATATCTTCCTCAATGAAGAGATGCCTCACTCCGGCATATCGAGAAATACTACCACACGCGGAGACAATCGTGTATTGGAGTGGGCCCATCCTGCAGGTAATGATGACAGTAGTGATAGAATGTGAGACTCGAGTCTCGGAATCAGGCACGTATGTCAGGTGCACAAAGAGAGTTCAAGGTTAGATGAAGACACCCCTGCGAGGGAGAGCTGCGACCCAGCCGAACGCCTGCAAGCAACTACCTGCGTGAATCACAAAGAGCACACGCACTGCTCTCCAGGACGAGAAAGGATGGCCCGTGACTATACCGCCTGGCAAAGACAGAGAGCCAGAGATCGACAGTATTCCGCGTTTCATGGGCGCGCCCTGGCGACGACAAGTCATGGGTGCAGAAGAGCAACCTGACAGAGCGGGTTTCTGTTGCACAACACGTAACATCACAGTGACGGGACGCGAGCGTGACAATGCGACAGCGAACCCTTGGTGCGCGACGCCGCGGCCGCCACGTCGTTGCCTCTCCTTCTGTCTACCATCTCGAGCTAAGGAAGCCTCGACTCGAATGTCCGAGCCTCCGGCGAAGCGACAAAGGATGTCCTCTGAGTGCCTTGCTTCTGAGAGGTGTACGTGATGAAGTTGACCTATAGTCTACGCATGCGCTGAGAGTTGCATCACCTCAGTCTCTGCCACCGACTCGGACGTGACATTCGAGTCTGCGGACAGCGTACTCTTCAAGCTGCATCGCGCGAATCTTTCCACGCACTCTTCCATATTCCCTGTCGGCTCTGAGATCCGGAGCGATGGCGAGGTAGTGAAGCTTCAAGAAGACTCGGAAGTCCTGGAGGTTCTCTTTCAGCACGTTTACCCCGGAGACATTCCCACGATGGACGATATACCATTCCCACTTCTGTCGAGGATAGCAGATGCAGCGCAGAAGTACCAGATCACGGTGGCCATGGAGATCTGTCGCTTGCATATGAGGTCAGTTCGCGTCGCTTTCGCCGGGCGTGACTCTTAAGAAACCCTGGCCGCAGGAACCATATCATCTCCCATCCGCTCGGTGTATTTGCGTACGCCGTCAAGCACGGCTACGACTCTATGGCAGATCAGACCGCGCTCAGAACGCTCGATTATGAGCCACAATCCGTACTAAATGCTACAGGGCCGGTACACTTCGCGCATTGGGTATGTCAATGGTCGACTTGGGACAGTAGACTCTGTGCGTACTCATGCTGATGGGATTCATTGACTCGCAGGTACTGTACAGGGACCACTGGATCAAGGTTCGCGATAGCTTTCTGCTGTGCAGCGAGCTTGACAAGTCCCATTTGGATGGATGTCATGAGCGTTGGCGAGCTGGGCGGCCAAAGGCATGGCCTGTAAAGCTTGCCGCTTTACAGGACACAGATGCCTTTTTCGCACCTGTGCTGGCCATTTCTACCTCGCTGTGCAATAAATGTCCCAGATGGTGGCAGGACAGAGTGGCGCGCTTCAAATCGTTGGTTGAAGCAATCCCGACATATACCCATGTTGCGCGCTCTCTTTGACGCTAGCGTCCCGTTTGTTCATTCGACTGCGCACCTTAGATTCTTACGAACGACTGCAATTGATGCAATGAGAGATACGATCAAGAAGCGAAATCAGAATGGTAACAATGAAAACAGGGATATAGCAGAGAAAAGAAAACAAGTATTGATGCGTGACTGCATTTCCTGATCATGAAGATACGTGATGCCGGATGAGACAGCGGTATGATACATATACGTCCAGGAGCAATGTGCGTTGAAGCAGACTCGGAGGCAAAACAAGAAATGAGGGGACGGTACAGTAGGGGAAGGCTAGTTGAGGTAGCCGCGGCACTTGGCCGAGCCGCAGAGACAGGGGATCTTGTCCTGCTCGATGGGGAAGTGGTAGTCTGCGCGTATTGTAGTCAGTACAAATTCTCAAGAACAGATTGGGCGCTCATGCTTACCGTAGGTAATCTCGTCGCCCAGCTCGATGTCCTGCTTGGCGTAGATGACGATCTTCTTCTCACCCTGAATGGTGATGATCTTCGCTGTACAGTTCGGGTCACACGAATGATTGATCAGGCGTCTGTGCACATATAATCAGCTTCAATCCCTGACGAGTCCATATGCAAGGATGGACATACCCAAGATTACCCTTCTTCGTAGCATCCACGACCATCTCTTCATCGATCCTGAACAGATAGCTGCTTCCGATCCCCTGCCTCTCATACGCCTTCTCGCGCTTATCCGCGACCTGCGCCCGGATGACCTCGCCGACATACTCAATGACCAGCTCGCCCCGCGAGATGCGTTCCATAGCGTACAGACCCCAGTCGTGAATGGGACTCCGCGCGAAGCGCAAGTGCTTCTTCCGGCTTTGCAGCTGGTTAAACTTGAGCGCGAGCGAGTCTCCGGCCTGTTCGCCCTTGGATAGTGCCATGGCTCGCTGAACGGCATTGAGTTCCTCGAGGCCTTGTGCCTGCCGACGTGCGTTCGCGCGGTTACTGCGCGAGCTGACCATACCCGACGGCGTGGATGACTTGCTCGCTGTGATAGTTGCAGTGGTCGTAGACGTGGTCGGCGCCCGAGCAGCAGCGTATTGAGCCACATACGCGCTCTTGTCGGCGTGCGCGATCTTGTAGTACCCTTCCGTCCTCGCAGAGCCAGTAGCATGCACTCGGAAGGGCTTCGGTCCAGACTCTTCCTCTGGCGCATCGGGCTCGCCAGGCTCGAGCAACTGAGTAACGTCCTGTCCGTAGTCCTTTGCGAGGGCCAGACGGGCGTAAAACGCGTCTTCGTCGTCCACACAGACTCCGGCTGCATATGGATCTGCGGGAGGCGGAGGCTGGGCGGGCTGGGTACGAGGTTTCGGACGAGGTTTGGGTCGTGGCTTGGGCGGCGGCGGCGCAACCTCTTCGGGCTCTGGGGAGGGTATTGGTATAGGCGATGGTTCCCGGACAGGTGCGACAACAGGCGGAGGAGAGGGGACACGGAGCTGGATAAGATGCGGCGGTACAAGAATGAGTTCGTCCACAGGCGCGGGGATGACAGCATGGACGTCGTCCTTCTTGTCCTTCTTTTTCCGGTCGCGTTCCTTCGTGGCCTTCTTGTCCTTGCCCTTCTTGGGCGCGACCGTAAGCGCAGAAGGCAACGAGACGGGCTCGTCGCGCTCCACCTCGCTCTCTCCCTCGTCGTCGTCAACCACGCGCGGGCGCTTAGGTTCACGATCGTCCATGAGATCGTCCTCGAGCGGTGAAGCGCGCTTGGAGGCTGCATGAAAGGGTTCGGGCGTGACAGAAGGTACCTCCAGAGCCACGGGAGTAGGAGTTGGCACAGGTACAGGTGAGGCCACTGTCGGAGCTGCAGACTCCTCGTCCTCGCTCTCGACCTCAACGACCTTTCTCCGTTTCTTCTTCGGCCGCTTGGCTTCTGACTCAACCTCCATCTCCACGTCCTCAGCCGCAGCCTCCTCCCTCTCCCTCTTCGCCGCAGCTTCCTTCTCCCTCCTCTCGCTCTCTTCCCTCGCACGCTTCCCCTTCTTGAAGCTCAACCCCTTCAGGTCGCGACCTACACCTGGTGCATTCGGTACGACCGACTTGTTCGCAGCCAAGGGCGCCGGTCGGTGATGGGCCGCGACAAGCGTTTGTACCCTCTTCCCCACGACTCTCTCCAGGACGTCCTTCTCCAACGTCTGCCTCAACTCCTTCGCCAGTATCTTCCCCGCAGCTGCTAGAAGCTCGTCCTCGTCCACCTTCCCGGGGCCCACATACATCGGCAGTCCAGTAGCACTTGGAACGTACTTCCCAGTCACACCGGATGCGGAAGTTGAGGACTTCGGCTGCGGCGCGGTATGCACGGACGCAGTGACGGAATAATTGGCAATAGTGTGTCCTGCGCCTAGGAAGACGTGTGCGCGGCGCGCAGATCCAGGAGCCGTAAAGGCTACATAGAACCCGCGGTCGTCTTGAAGGACCTACACGCACCCACAAAGAGAAAGGTGGCATCAGCAAGCTTATTCCGAATCGGGCAATGGCAACGCCAAAACGACAAATGAACAAACAACGCACCTGGTCGATATTAAACTCGCCCAGGACCTCCCTTACGCCCTTCTCCCCTTCGTCCTTTCCTAGCCTGAGCCCTTCAATCTTCAGGTAGTCCATCCCATTCGACGCCAGCTTCTCCGCGGTCTCTTCGCGACGCTTGTTCCTTTGCGTGCGGGAAACGACTGGGCTGGGAGAGCGCGAGATCGGCATCGGGCTTCCACCGTCAGCATGGTGCGCTCCATCCCGCTCCCTCCAATCCCTCGCGAGCTCGCGACGGTCGGCGTCCCTCCTGTCCCAACTATCCCGATCCCGCGCACGACCCCGGTCACGGTCGCGATCCCGGTCGCGCGCGCGGAACGACGATAAACTCGTCTTAGAGCTCCTCCTGTCGCGCGAGGGAATGTAGCTGTCACCTCGCAAAGGAGACCAACTTCGCTCACGACCTCGGTCTCGATCTCGATCCCGTTCGCGGTCCCGATCCCGATCTCTGCTCCTACTCCTGGGCCTCTCCCTATCCCTATCTCTGTCCCGATCTCTGTCTCTGTCTCTATCCCTGTCCCTGTCCCTGTCCCTGTCCCTGTCCCTGTCTCTGTCGCGATCCCAGTCCACAGCTGGCTCAGCGAGTAACAACTCGCCTGTGCCGTGGTGTCGGGCCTTGAGCATGCTTGCGGGAGGTTTGCGCTGTACCATGGGACGCCCGCGCGCTTCTCTGTCCGGTGGTGGTGCGGGAGCGATCGTGGGTTTGGCGGGTAGACCTGGAATTGGATTTGCTGGGAGCGAGTGATGTGAACTGGACGGTGTTGGACCATGCGAGTGATGCACGGGCGAGGGTGCACGGTGCCCGTGACTGTACGAGTGCGGAGTCAACGACGAGGGTCCTGCGGTAGCGTTCGACGAGCGGGAGGCGTTGAGTGGAACCGAGTTGGCGCCTCCTCCGCGCCAGGACGACGAAGAAGGCATAGACGCCGAAGGCGGGATCGGCGTGTGACCGCCTGGCGTGTCCGCAGAACCTGGTGTCCCTGCATGCTTATGAGATGAACCGGACGCAGGAGTCGCCGAGGGCGCATTGTCCCTGCGCCTCTTCAAGCCCTGCTTCTCGCGCTTCCTTTCATCGATCTCCTTGAGAACCGCCTTAAGCGCCTTGCCCTCTCCGTCCAGGACGACACGCATCGGCTCCTCCCCTCCGCTCTTCACACCCATCACTCCCACGAGACTCATCGTCTTGCCATCTTCCGCCGCGGCTGCAGCACGCGCTTCGGCGGCTAAGGAAAACTTCAAGACGTGAATGCCCAATGCGGCGCCGGTCATCTTGTCGATCTGAGGCTCGTGCGCGATGACTGTTCCGTATCTTGAGAAGTGACGTTTGACGTGCTCTCTCGGTGCGAGAGGGTTGAGGCGTGTAACGAGGATTGTCTGCGGTGGTGCGGGTCCAGTCGAGTTTTCGTCCCACTATCATCGAAAAAAGGGAAAATATTAAGCAGTGAGAAACCGCGCTTTCGTCGTCAGTAAAAAGTAATCACATACCTCATACTGCACCGTGTAAAGCTCGTTTCGCGCAATACGGTGCCCTTGTATGCGCTTGAAGCCTTCCACTTTCCTCGGATCCCTGGCTACTGGCACATCCTCGCCATCGACGACTTCGCCCTGATACCTCAGCAGCAGCTCCTTGCCCCTCCCTTTACCCTTGATTCTCGGTTCATCCGCATTCCCGGGACCTTGCTCGCGCACGGTCTCAATAAGAGCAGAATATTTGCGAATGGACGCGGAGTCGCGGTCGATGGACGGGTCAAAGATAACCTTGAAGTCGCGTACAGATGCATATTCGTCGCGGGGCGGCCAGGGTAGAGGAGGCGGTAAAGAATATAATACAGGCGAAGGTGAACGTGGAGGTGGTGGAGGCGGAGAACTTTCGATCCTAGTTACGATCAAAGGAGGCGTATCTTCCCTTGGTGGTGAAGGCGGAGGTGCTGCGACCGGTTCCTGTGGTGGGGGAGGCGGCGGCGGGGAAGGACTTGCCGGCGGTTTGGGAGCAGGCGCCCGCGCGCGATAAACCTTCGGAGCCGAGGGCGGCTGAGAAGGCGGTCGCGAATCGGACCGCGGCGGGCGAGGCACATCGATATTGAATTTGGGCAATTGCGGCGGCGCGCCGGAGGGTGGAGGCGGACCGGTCGGTGCCGGCGGCGGGGCTGCCCTGGGCGCCGGAGGAGGCGGCGGGCTCGCATCGGTAAATGCCGAAGCCGTAGGCGCTACTGCCTTGGCGCCGCTCAAAGATATTCGAACACGCGGGCCATCACCACTTTGAGGCGGCAACGACGCCGGCGGCGGTGGAGGCGGGTCACTTGGCGGTCTCGGTACGGATGGCGGTGCTGGTGTTGACGGTTGAGGTGGTGGAGGTGGAGGCGCCGATGCTGATGGCGGCGGCGGCGGCGCGTGACCTGGAGGAGGCGGCGGCGGCGGATCCCAGCTGGGCGGTGGAGGTGGAGGCGGCTCGTGACCTGGTGGTGGTGGAGGCGCGCCGGCGGGCGGCGGTGGTGGAGGCGGCGGTCCCGAAGGCGGCGGCGGCGGGGCCGACGATGAGGCGCGGTCTGCGCGCGGGCCAGTCGGTATAGAGCCATTCGTTTTCTTTCATATATTTCATTGTAAGAGAGTGTAGAGTTGTAAAGTATTGAAAGGCGGCCTACCGGAGCCCACTTTATCTGGACTATCTTCTGGCGCGTCGCCGCTGGCCCGCTGGGCAGCGACCCCTTGCCGTTCAATAAACTTGCAGCTCGCGACGAGCCAGCGTTGTTCTGAAACGACCTGGGGCCCGTCGGGGGCGTCGCCCCCAGTCTGGGATTTGTTGAAGGGTGGTTCACGCTATTGTTGATACTAGTACCGCTGGCCGTCGCGGCTGACGACGAGGAATGAGGATCGATCGACTCGCGGAGGGCGCGCGGGCCACGCGGGGGGTCCTTGCCAGACATGGTGAGCCCTTGGAGGGCGAGCGCGACGATGGCAAGAGAGAGCACACAGTCGAGCGCGCGTCGTCGACGTGGTCACGACGGCCGTGGGAGGCGGCTCATGCGGCCAAAGGCGGCACGGGCCCCCACCGCCTCGCTCTCATCATCTCTCATCATCCCCTCCGGCTCTATTGTCCCCAAATACACCTATTCGCATCCTCACCTCCTCGGGAAGCAGTCGTACATTCGGCCCTATCTTACTCGCCATCGGCGTGCCCGACGTCCAGCTCGCTCAATAATACTCCCCTCCCGGACATGCCCGCGACCCCTCACCGCTCTTCCGGCGCCGACAACCGCCCTGTCCGACCCGTTCTTCCATCAGTGCTTCAGCTCGCGGCCATCTATGGCTTCGCGCGGTGAAATTTTGTAACGAAGAGACCTGGTACGGTGCGCTGGCTCAGGACGCCGCATTCGTGAAGCCGCAGAGGAGAGGCGGATGGGACTTGCCTTTGCATATCTTCCTCGCCGTCGCGGCACGAATTCGTTTCGCTCGCGCGCTGATCGATTCGCCTGACACATGTCGTCAGCCAGGCGTTCTCCCGGGTCCCACGCTCTCGGGGCCTCGAGGAAGGGGACCTGTGTCCATCCATTTTGACTCGCTCCCTTTCCGTAGAGCCGTGCTTACGCCTTTGCAGTGCCCTTACATTGCAACGATTGCGCTAGGATCATTCAGACAAGCTCTGTAGGCGACAAGAGATGTTGTCCCGTTTGTTCCTCACTGTCACTGTACCCCAACGACAAGGCACGCATGCGATCGACTCAACGTCTCCTCTCGATGGCATCTACTCATGTCGTCCCTGTTGTATACCATACCACCTGAATGAATATATTGCCTTTTCGCCCCTTCAACTCCCCCACCTTTTCGTTGGGATGCGCAGATCCGTATGAGATGGACGTACTGGCAAACTCCCCGAACAGCGTACGCACCATGCGTGTGCGGCATGAAGCATTGCGGCAGAGGTTGCGGGTGAGAGCCCAAGCCCACCTGTATCGTCTCAGAATGTTTGTACGTGTTTAGACGGGTGTCAAATGCGGGAAGGATATCAAGATCTTGTGTATAAGAAAGACAGGGCACCCGATCTCTTCGCTCTCTCTCTCTCCACCCCCATCATGTCCGGCACCCCAATCGAAAACGTCGAGGAAACATTCGAGTGCGTCGTATCTATCATGCGTGCGGACGTTTGATAGCTGATGTTGCGCTCAGATATGCATGGAAGGCGTTCATAAGTTCTCGTTTCGACGCGAGCAACGCCAGCGGAACAGATAGATCCGCGAATGTGGCAGCGCTCGATCACGAGCTCCGTGCCATACAGGAGAAGTTGGATATGCTCATGTTGCTTGCAAAAAGGCGGCGGAATGAAGCGGTGCTGGCTTGCACTGTACCGCCCGAGGTCCTGTCCATGGTGTTTCTATACGCGTCGCGTATGCACGACTGGCAGCCATCGGGGCCTTACAGAGACTCCAAGTATCACCCTGGATGGACTCAGGTGACCCAGGTGTGTGCGTACTGGAGAGAGGTGCGCAACTACTGTATCGTACATCTTGCCCTGTAGAACTCACACATAAACTAGGTCGCCCGCGACACGGCGATGCTTTGGTGCGAAATATCTTGTGTTAACGTTCCCAGGACGGGGATGCTACCATACTTGCTGAGATCCAAAGACATGCCTCTCTCTCTAACCTTCCGTCGCGACGGCTGGACACAACATGATGAGGAGTGTTTTGTACAAGACATTCGCGACTGGCTTTGCCCACCAAACTGTCGCCGTCTACAGCATCTGGAAATCTCCGAGCATGGCAATGGCCTTGCAACTCGAGACTGGATCGAGCTCTTTGAGCATCCTATGCCTGCCCTTGAAGGGCTCTCGATAGAGGTCGTTCTGGACAGATGGGAAGTCTTTTTTCTCAGGATGGGAGCACTAGAATCAAACCGCCCGCCCAATCTCCGCAGCCTCAAGTTGGACAACGTACTTTTTCCTTGGGATTCTTCTGTCTGGGCCGCAGACCTCACCACTTTGACCTTGTGGATCTGCCCGCCCGAATGGCAGGATCTCGCACCGTTATTGCCTACCAAAACACAGCTCGAAGATATACTTTCAAACTTGAAATCCCTCGAAGTGCTTACATTGTATAATGTGTTCCCAGCTGAACGCGACGTTGAATCTGAGGCGGATATATTGATGTTTCCCACTTCTCTGCGCAACTTGCACCTCGGCGGTGATGATGACATTGACAATTCGACAGCGTGCCTAGAATTTTTCCTTCGGACTGCAGCCACTCCCGCTCACGTGGCATGCTACATTGACGTCAACGTGGACGCTGTGGCATTCGTAGAACCAGATCTCTTCTTACGCGCGATGGAGCTTCTTCAGTCTGGTCGGCCTCCGGCAAAGTCCCTTCTCGTGGATAGTGATGCGCTGCAGCTCCTCCAACGCTCTTACTTGTCCGGAGTGTACCGCGTGACTCCAGAGTGGGACGATGGCGTGGAGGAGGGTACGCGTCGCATCGACTACTCACGAGGGATTGATCGCACGATCATTCTGCGGTTGTGTTCCGTGCTCGATCTAAGTGATGTACGCATGTTCACCATCTCACCCTACGTCCTATCGTTCGTGAATGTAAAAGCCGAGTCTCTCAGCGTGGACGACTGGCACGTCATTCTGTCCCGTCTGCCCCAGCTCACCGGTATCTCGTTCCCGTACGAACCAGATGCATGCGACCTGCTGTGCGCATTGACGAAATGCACCGATGATGATGGCGGCGACGAGGCAGAGACTTCACTCCCAGTCCCTCTCCTCACTACCATCTCGTTCCTCGTCTTCCCGAAACCAGACCGGAACTCTCACGACCCGCCTTTCCTGGCGTTGCGTGACCTTCTGCGTGCCCGTAAGCAGGCCGCAACGCCCATTCACCGTCTCGTGTCCGGGGGCGTTGGACTGACGGAGGACGAGACGAATATCCTGCGATCACTGGTACATGAAATGGTTTGAAATTTTAATGAATGCCCCAGCCCGTGTGCCATAATGTCCGTGCCGTATGGTCATATATTGCTGTAGTTCGCGTTTGGACCCCAAGATGCTGTATCTCGAAAATGGTCTGACCACCCTGTACACCAGCTTGTAGCGATGGCGAGGCCACTTCTCAGTACCTGGTCAGATTCAGATCTCTTCACGTAGTGTATTAACACGACCTCATGTTACACGTAGCTCATGACCAATAGTGAGCGTCGTTGTCGTTGAACAAACAGTCCTGCTATGCGGGTACCTCAACGCTTCAAAGCCTTCATTTCGTCTTGTCTGTGAGTCGAAACATTGATCTTGAGAAGAGATGATCTGATAACGGACGCGCGGGGCTGGACATGCGGTCGGTGCAACCTGCTCTTAGCGTCCATCATCCTGTCATTTCCCTCGTGGGGCATGACAGACCCGTTGCTCACCCATCATGCATGAACTACAAAAGCGACCCGTTGTGCTCATCGTATCGCATTATCGCGCTCTTTCTTTGCACATCGTGCGGATGGACCGGCCTCAATGAGCAAATCGGCCCGGCACTCACACCGGCAACGCTCCGTACCTGCGGAAGCTCACGCTCGCATATCCTATTGGCGTCATTGATACGCAGCCCCTGACTTTCTCTACACTTCTTGCCGTATATCGGTACTGGGCCGCTTCTATACCGCTCGAACACTAGGGCGCCTATTCGGCCGCGTGGTAACGCCGAAGAAAGATGGACTTGTGACTGGTGCCGCTGAGCAAATCGCGCACACACTCACACATTGCGGCACGCGGGATGCCTCATGCGCCAGGTACTCTTTTGGAGGACAAGGACGACCCACAACAGCGGTACGCTGTCGAGGCTTACCACCTACGACGACGTACAGCGGTCTTGAGATGCGCGCCACTAGCCCTTGGGCCTTGGGCGTCGCCGGACGCCCCGTTTCAACCCCGGAGGAAGTTGATGCCTTGGTTACCGACCAGGAGGCTTCTGGCTATCCTTGCCCCTTGTCCGCCCACATCCGCATCAGTCGTTCGTCTATCAACATGCTCAAAACGGATGCGCCTTATCTAACTTCTCGCGCAGACCTGTCTATCAATCCTTCCGGCGGTTCGTACCATGCGGAGCTGTTCAGCAGTCCAACAGAAGCATCAACCAAGAGCCGCCGCATCCAGTATATATCATCGGTCGGCATACTCGGCTTGCGTCGTTCTGCACCCCGACGCAGAGCCTCGCGTGCCCTCAGTCCACCATGCTCGGCCAAGCGTTCGTTGGCGCCCTCCTTGCTGCCGCGCTCGCTACCGCAGCGCCCGGACCAGCTGCTGCCGACCCTTGCGCTGCAGTCGCAGGTCAGACTTTCGCAGACCCTGCTACTGTAATCGCTTGTCAGAAGAGCTTCCCATTCAATGAGACTCTGAGGCAGAATGTCATGACCGTGGTATCCAAGTGCGTGCTCTGATCTCGGTCACTCTATACAGCCCTAACAAGTACCACAGCGTCTTCAACTTCTACACGTTCGAAGAGTACTACCTGAAGTCTCCGCCTCCCTTCCAAGAGTCCACCGTGAACATCAACCAGACCTTGAAGAAGCTCTCCACGGAGAAATTCGCGGTGCGTTACGGCTCTTCCTGCCGATGTTCGGCACTGACGCGCCTGCACCCTAAAGACCGACTACGACTTCAACCTCGCCCTGTACAACTTCACGACGCAGGTCTGTCACCCTCGTTCTATTCCCGGAGATCGTGGATTTGACGCCGATGTCAGCTGAATGACGGCCACACGCGCTGGTTCCCGTCGTGCTACAACGCTTACCAGAACCTGCTCCCGGCGCCTATTGTCATTCTGGAGGAAAATGGCGAACAGGGTGTCTACATTATCCCCGACTTGGCCGACTTCTTACCGCTTGTCGGAGACGCGTACATCAGTTTCCTTGAAAACAAGGGCTTCGACTGGAAACGTCTTGCCGGAGCTAAGGTGTCGAAGATCAACGATATCGACCCATTCGACTACATTGACCATATCGCGACGACCGTCTCGGGCAACTATCTCGACCACGGCATTCGCGTGAACAGTGTGCTCAGCAGTTACCGTATCGTCAGCAATGCCTACTCGCAGCGCTTTGGTGACCTCGCCGGACCCTCGATCGTGACGCAGACCAGCCTGCGCATGACACTGCAGACGGTCAACTCTACTAAGACGGAGACGGTCGACATTCCCTTCGTCGCGTCTTTCGCCGGCGTCGCCTTCACGGACAAGGCATCCTAGTGAGTGCAACCTTGCTTGATCGCCGGCCAGTGTCCGACGCTGATGTTGTGGAAGCTGGGAGAACAACTGCGCCGCCAACAGCGCGACTAATGGAGTTGACTTGCGCGCTCAGGGTAATGTCAATGGGCCTCTTCAGACGGAGTCGGGACCCCGGCGCATTCGCGGCGCTTCATTCGATCTGACCGCCAAGAAGGACGTCGCGCTCCCCGGGCCTTTCGTACCCGTCCTTCCCACTACGGGCGGCTCCGAGGGAGTGATCAAGAGCTACGTTCTTCCGGGCAACAAGACGGGCGTCATGTTTGTCGGATCGTTCTCGCCTGACGACTTCGACGGCTTCCAGACGGACACGAAGAATGCCATCGACGACATCCTCGCTAGCGGCGCGGATCAGCTCATCATTGATCTGACCAACAACGGCGGAGGCTTTGTCTGCTTGGGCCTATTCTTGCACAACTACCTCGCCGGTGCCAACTTCGGATACCCTGGTTTCCAGAGCATCAACCGTGCCAATGCGCTTGCTCAGCGGATTCTCGGGAACGACATCAAGCTCAACACTACCGACAACCTGTCGTTCTACACAGCGGACAACTGTGCGTGCATGCTTGCCAGCGCTTTGACGGGATCACTAACCATATATTACAGGGGCCTTCCCACAGAACAACACCGAGGAGCCAGCTTCGCACAACTACATGAAACCGCCTGTGACAATCACCGTCAATGGCGCAAAGGAGACTAATAGCGAACGTTTCTTCGACGTCTGTACACCTTACTCTGTGGACCTCCCGGAGGCCCCACCATTCGACTTCAAAAAGATAGCCATTGGTGCGTACTGTGCGATGCGTTAGCGTAACTATGCTCAACCATTCTTCAGTCGGTAACGCGAACTGTGCTTCGACTTGCGCTCTCTTCTCGTCGGTACTGTACGAGCGTCACGGCGTCAAGTTCGGGATCTTTGGCGGCAAGCCCGGAGAGAGCATTCAAATCAAGGGCATGGCCGGCAACCAAGTCTTGGAGTGGGCTGACCTCGACACCGAGATCAAGACCGCTGAGCTCGGCAACAGCCCGCTTATTCCTCCGGACTTGCTCGTCGACGGAAACATGCGCGTGAACTGGCGCTCCGCCTATGCGTGGTCGGACCTCTCGACCCCCATCGGTAACTTGCTTGCTTCTTCCTTCATCACCTCCTAACTGAGAACACCTTCTATCAGCGTATGTCGACGAGCCAGCGCAGCTGAGGTTCGCGTACACGAAGGATACGTGGAACAACCCCCAGAACCTTTGGTCATTTGCGTACGCGTTCTCCCTTCGACTTCAACATTCCAAATGAGGCTGACACATGATGCAGGGAGAGCCAGTTCTTCTCATAAACTCAGATTTCCCACAGCGGTACTACGTAGTGTACGGTTCTCGGAGTAGACATTACTTGGGCCATTTGGTTTTTTTTGGGGTTCTGGCTCTGTAGGGGCGGCTTCGTCCTTTCGTGGTCTTTATTTCATCATTATTTGCAAACCTGTCTTGGGCACAGCAATGCTTTCCACCAAGCCGTTGATCGCGCCCGGTAGATCTACGCGTGAATATTACGCCGCAAGAACCCATGTGATCGCGTTTACTGGCCGGTATGACATCACGCGACGAGCTTACCGAACCGGTTCCCCGCACTCTCCGTCGTTCACCGAGAGCCGGTACAAAACCGCTGGGAGAGTCTAAACCAAATCGTCCGACAGTACCGCTTTAAGACCATCATGTCTCTGCTCGTGCTGCGCTCTCTACCACAAGCCACCCGGGCAAGTTCACGACTGTTTCTGCGCCCCATGTCCTCCGCAAGCAAGAACTACGAGTACATCCTGACCAGCACACCTGCGCCGGGTGTTGGGCAGGTCACGCTGAACCGGCCCAAGGCTCTGAATGCTCTGTGCTCTCCCTTGATTGTGGAGCTGAATGAGGCGCTCTTGAACTTTGATGCGGACAACGACATTGGCGCGATTGTGCTCACTGGCAGCGAGCGGGCTTTCGCAGGTAAGTTGCATTAGAACCCGGAGTGCGCTTCGACCGATGAAATTCTCCAGCTGGTGCGGATATCAAGGAGATGAAGGACAAGGCCTGTGAGTCATTTGTATACTTGCACACGGCTGTAGTGCTCACGTTCGCCAGTTGTCGACGCGTACAAGAACCGCTTCCTTGAAAACTGGGGAACTCTCACATCGCTCCGCAAACCCATCATCGCGGCAGTCAGCGGCTATGCGGTACGCCATTCATCGTCTCCTTCGTGCATTCATGTCATTCACACGATACCGTATGTAGCTCGGTGGTGGTTGCGAGATTGCTCTCGCGACGGACATCATCCTCGCTTCACCGACAGCCAAGTTCGGCCAGCCGGAGATCTCGATTGGCACTATTCCTGGCGGTGGCGGCTCTCAGCGCCTTCTGAAAACCATCGGGAAGTCAAGAACGATGGAGCTCGTATTGACTGGACGTCAATTCACCGCACAGGAGGCTGAACGATGGGGTGTCGTCTCTCGTGTGGTTGGGGATGGTGAAGGAGAGGTAGTGAAAGAGGCCATCGCAGTGGCGCAAGCCATTGCGGAGAAGAGTCAGGTGGCCGTGCAAGCTGCGAAGGAAGCCGTGAACGCCGGTATGAAGAGTGCTTGTCTGTGGTCAAACTTTGGCTCACACGCGATATAGCGCTTGAACAAGGCCTTACCGAGGGATTGAAGACGGAAAGACGCTTATTCCACATGACCTTTGCCACGAACGACCAGAAAGAGGGTAATGTTCTTCCAATCCATATGCCATTCAAATACTGATGATGTTCAGGTATGGGCGCATTTGCGGAGAAGCGCAAACCGAACTTCACGCATTCCTGATGTGCCGGGAACTCCAATGCTGGCTTCGCAAGCGGACGCGAGAAAGATCTTGTTGTATACATATAACCACAACCGGAGATCCCTGTTACTGTCTAATACGAGCGTTCTGCGCTGATTTCACGTGGTTGTCGAAAAGGACTCGAGTATCATGGGCGTCCATGTTTTGGATCGAGAATAAACATCATATACGAAAATGGACACTCCTCGTTACTCCATTCCGCTCACTTCTGAGTGGTATAGTTCATCGTAAACGCTCTATATCCGGCTACGATGACGCGTTTAGAGAATAACTCGGGATTCAGAAGAACTCGAGAAGTGTTACAAGATGATGGTCTTTCACCCGATCCCAGATGTCCCAATCCGCCATGTTTTTAGCAACCATGATCGTCTCGATGGCGGCGCCACGCCTTTTCCTACTCTGCAACAGCTCTACAAAGAAGATGTCCAACGCCACCCTCGTTTCCGCCGACGTATCTCCAGGCAAAACGCTGCCGCCTGTCTCCTTGTGTAGCGCAATCGTGGTCAAGCGGGGAAATAGAAAGAAGGACGGGGATGCGCCATCGGAACGTGCTGACTCGATGTCTAGCAATGCCTCAAATAGAGAGAGGGCGCTGCTGTAGTAGACGGAGAGGCTGTGAACGTCTCTAGCAGAAGCAAACCTGCTCATCCATGCATCATTATCCAGCAAGTAAGTCGCGACGTCTGCGCCAAGGGTCAGGACCTGCAACGTCGTAGTCTGTAGCAGAGGGAGATGCGTGGTGATGCTCGAATTAGAGTCGTGTTCGTAGCTGACCCATAGGCCTCTTCCATCCTCGCCCAGGCAATATTCATCCCAGTCGTCCAAAGCACCAGGTATGGATTTCTGCAACAAGGTCGTCGGCGGCCGTGCGTCGTACAGCATGGCCATTCCCATCCTGTTCAAATGCAGTGCGTAAGGGGAGCCTTGAGGATCCCCGTATATTATCGGTAGAATGGCAGGTATGTGGTTGTCAATTGGGAAACCAAGCGGGTGATCAATTCCACAATCAACGGCCGTGTGCGCGGGAGTAGAGACGCGGGTAATGAATTCCAGAAAAAGGTCTATGATCTCGTCAACGCCGATGCTCAACGAAAGTGACCTGAACACGTCGGGAAAGTCTATGCGCATGGTGTCTGAAGATGCATCCTGCTTGGGAAAGCAGTTGTGGAGTTCGAGCACCTCAAGCAACTTCATCGAGGATAACGTTCCGTAGAACTGTTCCGCAGTGGGCATCGAAGGCATGAGATCCGACGCATGGGTCTCGTCGTTGAATGCTATCTTCAGTGAGACCAGAGTGTTGGGTAGTAGTGTAGGGGTCCAGGTCATCGCCACTCCGTGCAGTGAGACGAGGGACAGATCGGGTCTATTGCTGGCGAGGATATTGGTAGGGATTGCTGCTAGTCCTGACCCCGTATGATGTGAATGATCGACAGTGAGAGAGCGCAGATGTGGCATAGGATATTGCAAGCAGCCGAGCCATTGCTGTAAACGAGAATCGGGCACCTTCTTGATTGAGAGGTTCATGATCCTCCCAAGGATGGGTTTACACAACCAACTCTCGATGACGGCCGTCTCTGCCTCGCCCGTATGCGAATGATCAATATGAAGAGAGATGGGAAGGCCTTGAGAGCGCGCTAAAAGCGTAGGTATAGCACGAGGATTCATATCTAAGCAATTGAAGGTACACCATAGGGATGGTGATTCAAGAGCAGTCTATGGGAGTTCAGATTGATGGCTCTCTCATTCGGATGAAGAAGGTGCGTACCTTCCGCCAATAGCTACAGGTATGTAATAGAGACATCCAGCCAAGCATATACGCCCGCGTTCCAGCGGTCGTCCCGCCTTCGGTTGTCGGAATGACACCAGTTCTCTTCGGGCTCCAATCTTCCTGAGAGTATTGAAAGATGTTGCACAGGATCTCTGGAGGCAGGCGGCAAGCACCCATAAACTCGTTGCGATGAAGTGCAAGGAGCTCTAGTTGTTTCAGCGCAACTTTGAGCTCGGCATCAAGCAGGGCGGCGCGATCGATAGTGGGGTTTCGGAGAGCGGCGGAGACGCAGGTGTTGAAACGTGTGTGTATGAACTGAGACCAAGCGATTCTGGATGTTCGCTCAGGTGATATTTGGGTGGTACGATAGGTATATTTACCGTGCCGACTTCTCTTGCTCCTGGGCACCCGCCATTGCGTCGCGGTGTGGGGAGGATGCAAGCCGAGATGCACCCTGTGATGGTGACGGTAAACTTAAAAATGAACCCGCTGTCACATGGAGCTTCTTTAGCTGATGGAATTTCCCACGACTCAGTGCGATCCATGTACCGTGTCACCATCTACGTCGAACCATGTATATACACCACTAAAACCTTTCACAGATAAAGTACTACAATGGAACAGGTCATCAAAAGAACTCTACATGGGCAAGATCCTCGGCCCTCCCCCAAACATCCCAGTGTGCGAACGCGCGCGACACGAGCAACGTCTTGATCGGCGCTTCCTTCTCCTTCCTGACTTGCAGCACATCGAGAAGTAAAACATCCAAGGTCGCGCGCATGTCCGCAAGTCTTTCGGCCGGATACTTCGGATGCATGTGTGCGTGCATCGCGATCGTCGATAGCCGAGGGAAGAGTAGATATGAGCCTGAAGGGCTCTTGTCGATCTCGCTCAAAGCGTCAAGCAACACGAGGGCGTCGAAGTAATGAACTGCGATGTTCTGAACTTCCCGCGCAGCAGCAAAGGTGTTGATCCATCCCTCCGGCTCCATGACGTTTTCCGCGTCGCTGAAGTCCGACGCGAAGACGATGGTCGGCACTGTACGCAGGGACAATAACGGGATGTGCGGGAGTACCGTGTAATCGTCGTCCCAGTGGCATATCCTCAGACGTCTGGCGCCTGGTCCAAGCCGATCTTGTTTCCAATCAGTTGCTGCCCATTCCGAGATGGGATTTTGCAATAGAGCTGGCGCAATATGGGGCGCGGACGCCAGCCCGACAGTGAACTGGCTTATGTACAGCATGAACGGTGGAACAGCCACAGCAGGACGAAAGACTTTGATGATCGGCGCCGGCAAACGGTCGTCAAAATCGAATGCGCCCTCGGCGTCGAGGGCGAGGACGACGCCTGTATCGTCTGCCAGAGAAAGCCGTTGGATGAGATCCAGACAACCTTCCAGAAAGCTTTCCGAGGCTGCTAACTTGATCTCTCGCAGATTGGGTAGTTCAAGATTCGCGTCGATCCCCGCCGTATGGCCAAGTTGCTGAGGTAGAATGGGAAAGACGTCGCGGAGCGTAAGCGATTGAAGATTCCGCATGGAAGATATGGTCGCGTAGAACGTCTGTATGGAAGGCGCAGACGCCAATAGGAGATTCGAAGGTGTGCGCTCGTCGAACTCGATGCTCAGATGCACGAGATGACGAGAGAAGAGCGTGGTTTCCCAGTCGTTTGGCAATCTCGTCGCGACCACTGCCACATGATGCAAATTGGGCGCATTTTGTGCGAACAAAGTGTCGGGAAGGCTAGCCCTGATCTCCCGCTCATTGCGACGCGGGTTGTTGATCACAAAAGTTTCCAGAAGGGGCATGGGATGACGAAGACCATGCAGCCACGGGTGCAGTTGATGGTCGGGAACGTTGTCCAGTGTGAGCCATTTGGTGCGGCGCAGGACAGGCTTGCAAAGCCAAAGGCCGGAAAAGTCCGCTTGTAGCTCATCGTCGTCTTCGAGAGAAAGGGAGGCCCCGTCGATGTGTAGCGAAAGCGGCAGACCACGCGAGCGGGCCAACAGCGTCGGCACCGAGTCGGGATGTACGCCCATGCAAGAAATGCTACTCCATAGCGCAGGGGATCCGAGAGCGGTCTGAGCAAGTATCAGGCGTCAGAACCGTCTCGTATGAAGTACCGAATCACTGACCTGGCGCCAGAAGCTACATACATGCAGCAGACACATCCATCCCAAGGTGTATGTGGCCCTGACATCTTGAACCTTCCCGTCAACGACGTTTCCATCGATACTCCTCAACTCTGGACTCCAGTCCTCCTGTGCGAGCTTGAAGACGGCGCCCAGGACTTCGGGCGGCAGGCGGCAAGCACCCACGACCCTGTTGCGCTGTTGCCGAGCGAAGACTGCACGCATCTCCATGACTTCAAGCTCCATGTCTGCCAACTCGGCGCGCTTGGCGGCGGCCTCATCGAATCCAACGCGAGCGCAGACTTCGAAGCGGGAGCGTAAGAAGGTCGCCCATGCTTCTCTGTTACGAGTTGAGCGAACGGAATCGGGCGGCAGATAACTGAATTCGTACTGTGAGGCTATCTGATACTTGTCCATCTTGAGCTAGGCTGGGTGATAATAGCTAGTAATGTGGACGGGGGAAGGCCGTCTGCGCGACGAGAAGGTAGTAGTGTGCCGATTCGAACCAAGTTGCTTTCCGAGCCTCGACGTGAAGCCTCGCAGATGAGACATGTCCCGCGCGCAACTCAGCTCCAAGCCTCGTCGAGGTTCTGACAGACACGCGCGTGCGCCCTGTGGAAGATAGGAGAGCGCATTGTGTAACGAGACTGAGAAGAATGGTGGTTTGTGGTGGCAAGAGGAAGGACGCATCGCTTCATGCTGAGCGCAACGCGGCAAAAGAGATACGTAAATCCTTGCTCGGATATGGGCCGGTGGTAACTCCTCACGGACTGCTCGCCGTAAACTGTGCCTAAACCGTGCCATGAGATACGGCGGGGTGGTGAAGGGCAACAACTCAAGGCGTATAGCGGCCGATCTCCTGCCCTAACGTTCTTGCTGGGTGGGAACAAGTTTCCACGATGCTGTAGCTGACTTCCCGCGGTGTTACTGACCCAACTCTGCCGGTCAATATGCCGATGATATACGGACGTACTGACAAAGGCCAACTATAGACTACAAATTCGTGCTGACAGAGTCTAGCCTGCCTGTGCTACAAGTCCAGCATTCGTAGTCCGGGGAGCGTTAGACGCCCGAGGTTAACTCAATTTATGACGTGATAAGGGTTATCATGCCTAACATAATCGTGATGAACACCTGTCAGCACCGAAATGTCCTTGATTCCGATCCGCCACAATCTGGAACAGCCAAGGCTCCGTTCATCGTACTATCCGTCGCCACCCTGACCAGCCTGACCACCTACGTCTTTCAACCATTCTTCCACCGGAATGCTTTGTCAGTGCGCGAAAGCACGACATTGCTCGTAAGAGATGGGTGCGCTGCGGCACCTTCTCAGATCCACATCTGAGTTATGGCGCTGCGTATAAAGAGCGTCGCTAGTCCCCGGTTGGATATCACAAATAATTCCACACCAACTCCCAACAATGTCTGGCTACAAGAACTTTGCTGTTGTCGGCGCCGGTAACATCGGTGCCCCAATCATTGAAGAGCTCCTCAACGGGAAGTCGACTGGTAAAGTCGATAAGGTCGTCGTTCTTTCGCGCCCCGTCAGTATCCCCACTCTCTACTCGGTAGGACCGCAGTCGCTGACATGAATCTCAGGAGTCTGCCTCCAAACTTGATGCTCTCAAAGCGCGCGGTGCGGTCGTCGTCCCCGTCGCGGACTACTCCTCGGTGCCGGACGTAGCCAAGGCGCTCACCGGGATCGATGTTGTCATCGCCACTCTTACGCACAACGCACTCCCTCTTCAAGTTCCCATCGCTGAAGCTGCCAAGTCCGTTGGCGTTCAGCTTTTCGTTCCCTCCGAGTTCGGCATGGCCACGGACAAGGCGACCGATGGTCTTCTTGCTGGCAAGAACGATGCCAACAAGAAGATTCGCGCGCTCGGCCTTCCTACGGCCGTGTTCTTCACCGGCGGATTTTCGGACTGGCTTTGGACGCCCTACCTCAGCTTGGACGTCAAGAGCGGGAGCGTTGAAGTTGGCGGTGACGGGAATGCGAAGATGTCCCTCACTTCGCGGACAGACATCGGGCGATACCTGGCGTATGTGCTCACCACGCTCCCGCCGGCGGAGTTGAAGAACAGGATATTCCGCATTGAGGGAGAAAGAGCGGTAAGCGAATCTTCTTATTGTTGCTCCAACGTGCACTGACTCGGTTATATTAGTCGTTCAACGAAGTATTCGCAGGATACGAGAAGAAGTACGGGACGAAGGTCCAAGTCAAGTATACCCCCGTCGAGGAACTCGGGGCGAGATTGAAGGAGAACCCGCACGATGTTGGAAGCGCTCTGCATATCGCCTGGGCGACCGGGCTGGGTGTCGTCGGATCTCCTCTGGACAACAGCGTGTATCCTGACTGGAACCCGAAGCCGGCGGTACACTATCTATAATTGGGATATTGCATCGAAGCCCTGTATAAAGTAGTGATCATGGCAAAGTGAATATTTTAGGTTGTTTTGACGATCTGTCAGGGAACGCCTATCGGGATTGCAATACAAAAAGGATGCTGCTACTCGAAGGTAACATCGGGGAATATTACACAAAGCGAAGTATGAAATTTGGTTGCTTGAATGAATGCAACTAAAATTGCTCGACCGTTACAATTTCTGCGAGACCCCGTATATCTGCATCGCCAAGTACGCCCTTCGCAACCCGTAGTTGCTCGATCGGACAACCCGCATCTTTGCGTACATGCATCAGGTTCAGGAGTTCGATTCGCAACTGAGCCGAGGCGATATCGTCGATATCTATAGCGTCTGCGTTGGCGTCCTCATACAGGTAAAGCGCGACGACCTTGAGCGCGGGGAATAGCGTCATCTCTTTGGCTTCCGTGGCACCCGGTGATGGTGCTGCAGTCTCTTCAAGTGCGCCGAAGAGGTGGCATAGAGCAGGGGCGTAGGGCAACGCAAGGCTAGAGATTTGGGTCGCTCTTCTGAACGTCGTTTTCCATGCGTCGTCATCGCGGAAAGCGCATACTGCCCCGCTAGCGATGGAAAGTCGTTCGATTCTATCCATCCGGACGAATGATAGGTATGGGTAGTAAAAGATGCTCAGTGTAGAGTTTTCAACGTCACTCAGAGTAAACCGCCGCTCAAGTTCGAAGGTATAAGCACCCCCACCGAGCCATTCGAGGCCTGTTTCCGGATCACCAGCGGTCCATTCGGGGGGTGACAGGGTGCTAAATGCATTTGAGGCAATGCACAACTCTTTATACGGATCCGGAGCCGGCTGGAAGAGATGGGCGAGCGCTTCTGACATGAGCGCATGCTCGGTCGCAGTAAATATATCGATGCTATAGCGGGCTGGCCGGGTTGTTGTTATTGATAAGAATGCCTTGAGACACGGTTCTATCATAGATATCACGGTGGCAGACATCGTCACGTCTTTGAGGGTGTCCGAAAGTTCTGTCGTGAACAGGTCGTTGGGATCAGGAAGAGGGAATATATTCATCAGGGATAAGGATTCCAGACGCTGTAGACGCGAGAGCACTTGATGGAATAAGGCTGGTGACGGTAGGAGTGTGGGGGTCGACTCCTGCTCGCCGAGGTCTAGATGTGTGATGTTTGAGGTGAACAGCGGAGAGGACCACGGAAGGAAGCAGTTGAATAGCGAAATCGAACGGAGACCAAGCGGGCTTGTTGAAGTGAAGATAGTATCTGGCAAAACGCTTGCCTCGTCAGACTCTCTGAGTGAAATATGTATTCTCAACTCCTCTAGAGCTGGCATGGGATTGCCGATGAGGGAGCTCCATTGCCTTGAATGCCAACGAGACGTCGCCATCTCCTCGATTGTAAGGCTCCGCACACGAGAGCTGACGGAACGGGATAGCCAGATCTTGCGAAGAGCGATCGTATACGGAGATTTCTTGTCGTCGCCTCTGAAGATCCCTTCGAAGGCGAGATCCAAAGGGCTCCGTCGCGAGCGTTCTATCAAAGCAGGAACCGCACCGATAGGAAGCGCGTAACATGACACGTCGCACCACAATGGCGATGATGAAAGTGCTACCTGTCCAAGAAGGTCATTCACGACGTAATTTTTGGGAGGTTACAAGCACATAGGCATACCTCTCTCCATTTATTACACACATGCGTCAAAATAATCCATCCAAGTGTGATTACGTCGTTGTCAATTGAGCGTCGGGGCTTCCATCCTTCTTGCGCATACCAGAACACGCGACTGAGGACCTCGGGAGGCAATGAACACGAAGGCAAGTTCGCGTTACGCTGTCTCTTCGCGAAAGTGATGAAGTCCGAATGCTGAAGTATCTCCAGCTCGTGATCCAATTCGGCGATCCTTTCGGTCTTCGTCAACCGCGGGGTCTTTGTCGTCGAAGGAGACGCAAAGCGAGATGTCAAGAACGTTTTCCACGCCTGAGCACTGCAGATGCGCGTCAGAAACCGAGTAGTAATGGTGACGATGGAACGGACCCGACGGTGTCTGGTAGTGATGGCATGATAGATGGTCGTTGAGAGCAAGACGTGGCTGAACATGCGATCAGCACCACTGGCATGGCAATATAATTAAACATCGCATTGGGACTCGCAATTTACTGGGCAGCCTGCCTTCCGCCACCCCGGACTTTGAGAAGCTCTAGATGTCTTCGGTTCCTTACAAGTAAACAATTGGATATCAATATGCGCGTTATATCTAAGTATGTATGCAAACAGGATGCGGAAAACGGGGTCTCTCGAGAATAACGAAGTTCGAAACAATCCCAAGTCAATGATGAGGTGGTAATAAGGCGAGAATAACACAGCAGGAGCGGGCAACTAGACGATACAGTTACAGAAAACCGAGTCGATGAGTTTAATAAGGGATGATGGGGATGCATGGGGGTGTATGTAGACGATGAATGCAAGCGGGAAGGGGATGGCGCAAGTGTTTTGGTGGGGATGCAGGGGGATGAGTACATGCGTAAGTAATCCAGTAAGCACGAAAGCAAGAGAAGCGAGCGAGCGACGACAAACGAGGGACGGCGGGAGAGATGAGTAGAGAGCGATATAGAACAACAACGGTGTAATCAATTCCCCTAACGCCCTACGGCGCATCCGGCAAACTGAAGTACGCGCGGAACATGCTCTCCCCTCTCAACCCGCTCCCCTCCACGACCCCATAAACATGCAAAAACAGCCTCGGCCATCTCCGCGTGAAATACGCGAGATACCCCGCGGGCATCGCGCCGACCGCTCTCCTCACGCCCTCGGGCAGATCCTGGTAGTGGTGCTTCTTGTTCCGCAGCGCTCGTAACAAGTCTTGGACGGATCGGCAGTCGTATTTGCGGAACTTGCCCAGGTTGTCGGCGAAGACGCGGTCGAGGCGGCCTATCCAGTCTGGTCCGATGACGAAGTGGGCGTCGGTTTCGAGGGTGACGAGCATGGGATCGCGTGGTTCGCGAGGCATGATCTCGAAGCGGTCCGAGGCGTCTTGGAGGAAGTTGAGGCGCTTTCCAGCGTCCCAAAAGTACGGGTGCATGAGGATGGTCGTAGTGTCGGGCCTGCACACGGAATCAGTCATCGCATCCACATCACAAAGAATCATGAGTTTACCTGTCGCTCGCCTCCGGCGCCAACATCCCCGCGATCAAATCCTGTGCCTCCACGCCCTCCTCTCCAAACACGTCCAATCCCTTCAACTCGAACGCGTTCTTGAGGATATTAACCTCCCTCTCGAACCGATCCCCAAACGGATGGTCCCCGCTCGTCATGCAATAATAGAACAGACAGCCGAGGGCGAAAATGTCCACGCTCTTCGTCAACCTCCTGAGCGTGGTATTTGGCGCAGTACCGTTGTTCGCGGATGTTGCGGTAGATGTTGAGCCGCGGGATGAGGAGGACGTGCTACCATCGTCGGCCGGTACACCATCTAAAACGACCTCGCCCCTCAAGATCTCCGGTGCCCTCCATCCGAACGTCCCCACGCCCATCGCACCACCTGCCGTAGGCAAGAAGCTCGTTTGGTCGAGCTCCAACTTCCTACACAGCCCAAAGTCGGATATCAACATGCGATGTCCCTTCCTCTCGCTCGATATCAAGATGTTTTGCGGCTTGATATCCCGATGGACGATCTTGAGCGCGTGCAAATGTCTCAATCCACTTGCGATCTCGGATAATGCGCGTTTGGGGCGGAAAGAGTTGGAGAGGTCTGGGTGGAGGTGTGGTCGCTCGATCACGTCTGCGAGGGATGCAGGACACAGTTCAAGTGCGATGTAGAGGAAGGAGGCGTGTGCTTCTTGGTAGTAGTATCGGATGACATTCGGATGGTCGTCCGCGTCTTGAAGCAACGAGACTTCGCGCAGGGCGAGGGTTGTGAAGTCGTTCAGTAACCTCTTGACGGCTACTGCGCGACCTTGGAGCGAACCCTGATACACGACTGTACCGTGCGAGCCGAAGCCTGTTCATAGCGCATTAGCACCCGTTGCAGCAAAAATAGACATAATCTTACCCAGCACGGTATCGGAGACCGTCAACGACGACGACGCAGCGGGTACCGGCGTTGGTGGTGTGGGTGCCGCCATAGGCGTCAACACCACTGGCGTGGGCTCTTCATCACCCTCACGCTCGGTGCCCGTCCCCTCCTCCTGCTCCAACGCCGCGAAAGCGTCCTTGGCGCCTCCACGCTTGCGCTTCCCACGCTTCCTCCTCGTCCCGCGGCGTTTGCCGGGCGCAGCAGGCTCGTCCTCATCATCGTCTTCGCCCTCCGCCGCCGATGGAGTTGATGGCGTGAGCGGCGTAGCAGGCACGAGAGTGGCTGAAGATGCTGCAGGGGTGGCGGGCGCCGGCGTCGAGGGGCGCTTCTCGGTGACGAGAGCTAACGGCGCGTTTTCAGGCGTAGCAGGCGAGGACGATGCCGGCGAGCTATCCTCATGCAGTTCCGCGGCGGGCGCTTGGGCGATGGCGTTTGGAACTACTTTGGGCGCCTGTGGAGGCGGAACAGACACGGGCGCTAAGGGCCGCCTGCGCGAGGCCCAGAGCGTGCCCAGCCCGAACATGGCGCAAGCGAGGAGCGCCAGTACGCCGCTGCCAGTCCATCCTGGTGCATCTATGGTAGGTGTAGGGATTGGGATCGGGATGGGCCAACCAAAGATGGTGCGGGAACCGTTGGCCGCGGGGTTCATTGGGAGGTTCGGAAGCCCGGTGTGGTCGGGCATATCATCCGAGTCGTTGAGTGGGACTTGTGGGAGCTGAGCGGGTGCTCCGTCAAGAAGACGAGCAAGACGAGAGCGGGAGTCTTGGCGCAAGGGCCTGATGCCCGTGGCGCAACGCGGGTCAGTGGGGTCGTTGATGCACGCTGTGGCCGGCAAAGCACGAGCGGCGGGGCGACGGTCGCGTGAGAAGAGGACGAGCGGGTAGCGGTCCGGGGAGAGGGCGAAGAGAGACTCGTTGGTGAGGCCGACGTATGCGCGTTCGGGGTCAGCCCTGCGCGCGTGCACGGATAGGTCATCGAGAGAGAACATAGACTCTACACGCGGCCGAGGCTGAAGAAGGGCAAATGCAGAGCGGGTGGGTGTGCGAACCACATCAAAGACGGCGACGATGGGCGAGTCAAAGTCAAGACCCCAGAGCAACGCAGTCTTGGACGGGTCGTCCGAGTCCACATGTAAAGCGAGGACGTCGCCATTGGGCAGAGGTTCGACGTATAGGTTATCCTGAGTACGGCGATACCTGAGCTGTCTGTCCTGATCCTGATTGTTCGGCCCGTACGCGCTGAAGCTGAGATTCTGCACCGGCTTGCGGGTCGCCTTTTTCTGCTGCAAGATCGAGACCTGGTAGTCCGCACGACCGATATAGATATCGAGCGGATATTCGTCCCGCTCGAGCTCGTCCAAGTCGACCGGGCCGTCCTCGCCGACGGCCTCCCACGGACACTCGCTGTCCAGGGCGGCCTTGACCCTGCCGGTGCCGAGCTCGATGAGCAGCAGGCTCGTCTTCTTCCTTCCCACGAACACCCGTGCGTCTGTCTCGCCGAAGCTGAAGGGGGACATGTCGACGAGCTGGGGCATGGAAAACGGCAAGCGCGTGAGAGCGTCGTCGGCGTCTGCCGCGACGTAGATGTCGCCCGACTGGGGCTCGATCATGTACGTCTCGCTGCTCGTCGCGATGTGCTCCGTCGTCACCAGCGGCCGTAAATAGCTCGGCACCGCAGCTCCCGCTTCCGGCAGGTCCATCGACCACAATTTAACGCCACGTTTCCTGTCCACCGCGTGCAGGCGCCCGTCGACAGAGGCCAGGAGTACAACATTTAATAATTCGAGAGCGTCGTCGGACGAGGGGGCGGACGGCGCGTGGAAGCGGGCGTCCTCGACCACGCGCGTGGACAGCTCGCGGCGGGCAGACAGAGCCTGTGCCCAGCAGGCGACGGCGAGGATGGAGAGCAGCAGAGGGTAGGCGGCGACCGTCATGCCTGGCGCATCCTCAACGAGTGACAGATGAGAGAAAGAGTCGGAAATTTAGAACAGATAATCCACCTGCCTTTCCCACTGCCTTCCCCGCCTGATCCTGCTTTCTCACATACATATCCCCGACCACCACTTTGCTCCTCCCGAGCGTGACTTCACTCCGCCCTCTTCCGAGCCTTTTCCTCCCACCCTATCCATTGCTTATTCTCGCTGTACTGTCGTAGAATATACTTGAGTCAGATACACAAATATAACATGGGGTATAAGCGTCTCATAGCAGTGGCTGTGCCTGACGAAACATCGGCGCCCGGCCTACGCCCGACCCCGTCGTGATCATCTCCTGCCCACGACCATCGACCGGGCCTCTCCAGTCGTGCGCCCCAGACCCCGGCAGAAGTAGGCAAATTGCCGACCGTTAGAACGCCACGCCTCGTCTGATAGCGTATTATTCCCGAACAGCTGGAGTCGTCCCCGGCACTGCGGTATGCTGCTGTGCTAATAGCCTTCATACCAGCCACGGCCCCTTCGCCTTCTGCCAAATCCCAGTACCTTGCTTCGCATTTCCCTCGATGACGAAGCAGCAGTCATCTGTCCGCTCAATCTCAACCCGCCCAATATCGTGCCGATCTTGGGTGTCGAGTGCATCAATCCATAGGAGGTGCCAAGGGCGCGAAAGTCTCGCGCCACCGCAGCGCCAGCTCGGATTTGGGCGCCCATCCCGCCGCCAGTGCCCTCGTCCCACTCTCATCGATCCTCGCTATGCTTGTCGATGTGTCTGGGCGACTGTGGCCTTTGCCTCGCTGCAGGTATATCGGACCCTTTCTCAGCGTAGGATGGTCAGAAAACATGCGATCTTCATAAGCCACTGCGCGTGGCCGAGCCTTGAGCTTGAGCGCTGAGCGCTTGTACGACTGTCAAGCCGTTTGAGACGTTGATTGGCCACCTACCTGTCTACGCTTGCTTGCGCGCTTGCGAAGCCACGAGCTCGATCGTACGCGATCCTCACGCCTCCCGTCGCCGAATGCGTTGCCTAACATCCTGCTCACTCTCAGACGCAGCTCAGTCTCGATGCGCGCTTGTTCGGCTGTGTCGTTCCTCATCAGGCCGCCCGTTCACCAGCCAGCTTTCCTAGGCATGAGCATGAGAGCCCGAGAGTCTTCATGCGAGAAGATCGTTTCTATCGCGGGCAGTTTGCGGGCGCAGGAGCGAGTGGCGCAACCTGTCAAATAGAGCACAACCTAGGATGCATTTGCCGTCGTGTGCGTACCGCCGGCACTCGTGATCGTAGACGCCCTCTGCATATACCCTCACTACCTCTACGCTCAATAAGATGGTATGGTATGGTATGGACTTCATCGCGCTTGCCGATGTAGGCGACCTAGTTCTCTAGGCCGCGATGCTCTTTCACCAAACTACTATGATCGGTACACCTGCTATAAGCATCCGAGCCCTTGCCGACACTCCCCCGCTTCGTGCGTTTGAAGTTCATGCAACCGGCCAACGTACTTCCGGATGGAAGCCGTTGACCTAGAAGCGAGTCTAAGGTGTGCGCAGCGGCAAGAACTGTACAGACGGCCCAAAGACGGCCTGCGCGTGCGAGCCGGTTCTCGTCACGTCTGATGTTGTCCGTGACGTCTGTATCGGCAAAGGAAGGCTGCGCACTAGATGGTTCATACAATCCGTTATATAGATAGATACATGACTTCATAATACTCGCGCGCAGCATCATGTACCAGTACGCATACTCAGAAGAAGTTCACCGTGACCATAGATTCCAATCGCTGCCATAAATCCGTACGCGAGGCTAAAGCCTGCGAGACCAATATCTCCTTCAACTGCATCTGCCAACTCCTTCGTACTCGGACCAGCTCGAAGAGCACAATGTCCAGCGGAGCGAGATCCGCTCCTTCTATGACAGCTGCCTCCGTCTCGCCCATCGGAAGGCTTGCGTGCAGGACGATCACTTCGAGCTTGGGGAATAGGATAAGTCCACCAGGATGCTCCCCTCCGTGTCCTTCCCGCGCATCCGCCAAAGCCTCGAACAATCGTCGGCCATCGCTGTACGCCAGCGAGATCCGCCGCGTTTCGGATGCTACGCTGAAATGGACGTGCCATTCTACGGCGTGCAGTTGAAGGCGCATGAATCTGGCGTTGAAGGTGCAGCACCGCACAGCTTGCAGGGGAAGGTGTGATAAATGCACCAGCATGATTGCGCCATCGTCGGACTCGTCGTGCTCGAGATAGACGTGTCTTCCGCGAGAGAAGGTATGCGTTTGAAACGTGGTTGAAGGGTAAGGAGGATGAAGTCCCCTAGTCCACATAGAGCGGATGTCTCTTGGATGATAACACAGACTCAGAAGCGTGCCATTCAAGTTCAATTCGTGATAGGCACCACTATCAAGATTGCCAGGCGGGAGGAATATATGCTCTATATCTGCGGAGAGGCTGATTGAGTCATCTCTCGTGAGAAGATCCGCATCGGGGACTTCTACTGCCACTGTTACATCGGCTGCGATGCCGAGATGCCTGAAAAGGTCGAGGGAGTGCGGAACATAGACGTGAATGGATACGACTAGTCGCTTGAACGTCCCAGGAAGTATAACCTGTCGAGCATCGTCCATAGATAGCATGGATATCGGTACAATCCTTGCCAGGGATAATGACTCCAAGACTGGCATGGATTCTAAAAGATCCAAGAACTGGAACATCGTCGGCATGGCGTTCTGCAGTTCAGACACATCGCCGAAGCCGACCTTGAGGTGCCTCATCCTGTGAGAAAGTAGAGGGGAGTTCCAAGGGAGAATCCTATTCATGACGTGAATTGAGGATAGGCGGGGACAGCGTCCAGCGAACAGTTCAGTGGGTAAGAAATCTGGCCATTCGGTTTCGGCCTCATCCAAGGAATCAAGGGTGAAGTCGGTCAGAGCAGGCAGAGGGAAGTCCAAGTATGGGAGACATGTGTCCAGTAACTCCTGGCTGAAGTGCAAAAGATTCAACCGTCTGGTGCGATGAAGTACCGGTCCACAGAGCCAGGTATCGATGAGTTGAATAACGTTGTTTTCGGTGATAGGAGGCCTGGCGTCGATGGTAAGGGATAGATCGAGCCCGTTTGATAGTGACAAAACGCGTAGCATAAAGCGAGGGTGTAAACCAACGCAGTGCACCTCGCACCAAAGAGATGGCGTGTTCCGGATGACCTGGTGATCTTGAGCACTCGAATGAAACATATACGCTTCAGTTAGCGCACCTCGGTCCACAAGCTGCAGACGTGCAAGAGATACATCCATCCGAAGTCATATTGTACTTTGGGGGCCGCGTCTGACACGCTAACGTACTGTCGACGTGGGAGCCATGCGACCTGAGCCTCGGCGAATATCATGGTCAATACCTCGGCAGGAAGTTGCTGAACGGCCGTCTTTAGATTACGGCGTCTCCTTGCCGTAGTGAGACCTTGCTCTAGAATGGCGAGCTCAGAGTCCAAGGAGGTTAGTGTGGCGGCCCTGTCCATCGCCATGGCGGTCGAAGAGTAACAATACTCGCTACGCGCACGTCGAAACATGTTCGGATGCAGTCACACTGAACGGTCACAGAACGGGGACTATGGCATTCACGTCGAGAACTACAGTAAGAGACGCATGTACGAGAAGATAGGGAGTAGGTACGAAAGCAAGACAAACGACAATATCACTCAGACTCGACAGCAGCATATATTTTACATCATAAATTACCCTTTTGATATCATGTCCGGCAACCGCGCAGGACGTTCGCCCTTCAAGATCTCATCCACAACATTCGCCCAGTCATCGCGTAGATGGCCCTTCGCACCACCGTGACTCGGAGAGGATTTGGCTGACTGACCACGCCCTTTCTTTCCCTTCTTCTGCCCACCAATGCCGCCTTCATAGGCCTGTCCAGTTACTTGCTGCGCGAGGAACTTGATCTCGGAGAAGTCGGCCGTCGCCTGTGCCTGTAAGAATGCAGCATTGTCCGCCCGATGCTGCAGGCAGTCCGGCTGTACGTAGCCCTCGACTGGCGGCAGCTCAACCACGCCACTCTCCTCCATCGGGCGCCCATCCGCGTGGAGAGTACCACCAGTGAGCTCGAGGATCTTCGCAATGTCGTAGCTCTTGCCAGGAGGGATGGGTATAGGCTGACTCGGCGTCGTACATGGCATGTCCGTCTCCTTGCGCAGAACATGATCAACGTCCACAGCGGAGAAGAATGCCACACCCTGAGGCAGATCATCCATTCCCAGCTTGTACGCGAACAAGCTACGCGTCCAGAGGTTCGCAATCTGGAGCGCTAGCGCTGCGCGACCGGCGTCCTCTTCGCGCACGAGATAGCGAAGCTCGTCGTGAACGGAGATGAGGAATCGCGCTTTGATGTCGTAGCGCTTGACGAGGTAGCTCATGGAGACGATGAGTAGGTGGAGGTAGTCGACTCCAGAGCTCTGCACGACCCAATTGATGCGACTCGGCATATAGTCCGATCCGAACTCCTCTGGCAAGTACTCCTTCGACAACGCATACGTGACGCCGCAACCGAGAGCAGGCGTCTTCGGCCGATTGCTGAGCGCGATCTCCTCGAGCTTGTTGAACACGAAACTCTCAGATCCGCCAAACCAGAACTTACGCCCGAAGATGTCGGTACGATGCGTGTTCTTGCCCTTCGTGCTCGCATACAGGGAGTCCGCCAGACGTTGAGCTTCCTCAGGTGCCATGCCCGAATTGCCTTGAAGTAGGAGTAGCACAGCATGACGCATGCCTGCGCCGTAGATACGGGAGTAGTTGAACACCTTCGCCTGATCACGCGAAATGCCGAGGATGCTCGCGGTCTTTGAGTGCAAGTCCGTGCCCTGGGACTTCGTACCCTCGAGCGTCATCCAGCCTATAGCCGTGGCTCCGTGTAGTCCGAACTGCGCATCGCCCATGACACTTGAGATCCAGAGCTCCTCGCTGTCGACGTCTGCACCGACGATGGCGAATCCCTCCGGCGCGCGTACCATGGCCTTCAGCTCAGAGCCAACGCGGTTCTTCTTCGCGTTACTCGCCGTCAACCATGTCCTCTCGATCGCACGACGTGTGACGGTGCCCATGGTGATCATATGCGGAACAATGACACCCCACTTCTTTGCACGTTCACCTTCGACAGCGGGCGGCGACGGATCCGGCAGACCGAGCTGCGTTTGCTGGTTCTGCCATACGACGGCCTGACTCATGACGCGGTCGCGGGCGCTTATCCAGTAACTGCACTGTGCGTTCATCTCCAGAGCCTTCTGAGCCTCGTCGCCCGGACTTGTCATGGTACCGTCCTGTGCGTACTTGACGAATGTCTTGCTGAGCGGACTGCCCACGTTCGCAGTATCGCCGTCCTTATGCGGTATCTTGTAGAAGCGCGCGCCATCGTGAAGGCTTGCGCGTTGCAAGGTCGCGTCCGTTGGGTCGTAGAACTCGAGGGGATCGGCCCGCGTCTCGTACTCGGCACCTCGAGGTACCCGAAAGATCCAACCGTGCTGACGGGAGTGGAACATAGGGAAGCCTTTCCATGACATGCGTAGGAGCAGCGGGGAGATGCGACTGCGCGGCGTCAGATCGACTGTACCAGGTGGACAGTCTTTCCTCGGTTTGGCAAGCTCCCAGTACCATTTTGGCCAGAGAACGGGTGGGGATTTCGGACCAGATACTTTCGCTTTCTTCGCCTTGACGACTGGTGCGGCGTTCGATCGCGTAGCTTTCCAGTCCAACTGGCTTAACCAAGGATCATCGGCCCACGCGTTCTGACTAAGTTGGGCGGTTCGATGCGCGATAGACATGACTCGCTCCCAAAGTCCCTCCGTCCTGTCGCCGCTGGAAATGGCCAGCGCGAGATCTGGATCTGAGGAAGAAAGCGACCCAGATTGAAGGAGTGGTACACCATGTGTCGCGCTGAGAATCGAGATCGCCTTGGAAGTGCTGGCCGTAGGTAGCCGTTGGGGTTCGCGCAGGTCACCCACTGCGTGCCAACCGTGCTTGGTTGAATATGTCAACGGTTTGCCATCGTAGGCGAGGTGCAGCAGCAAGGGAAGGACACGGTTGACAGTAGTGGCGTTGAAGGGTTCTGACGCAACGAGCTTCTTGTACCACACTGGGGACGAGCCTTCATTAATGACTGGGATCGCTGCCGGCGGTTGGTTGTCGTCTTTGCTGGCAACGGATGCTGGTGTGGTGTCGTCCTGCCATGACGAAGATCAGAAGACCACTCTAGCAAGCCCATTAAAATATCTTACCTCCGAGAGAATACCGCGCGACTTCTTCGCAACCTTCGGAGTCCAGTCAAGTTGACTAAGCCACACGTCGTCGCGCCAGCGCTCACCCTCCATAAGATCCTTGGCCTCGTGTGCGAGTTCGACAAGACGCGTCTTCACAGCGAGTTCGAGCTCATGATACGCTCGCTCAGATTCCTCGATGTACTTCTCCCACGTCTCGTTGACAGGCAAGAAGCTCGAGCCCATCGTGAGTATCCCGGCGAAGGAAACAGGACTCGGGCACGCCGCGAGAAACTGTGGGAGCACCTTGGCATATACAGCATGTGTAACAGCGACGTCGTCTGAGCAGTAGGTCAGGTAGCTCTGAATCCCCGCGCGGATCTGCTCGCGGGTAGAGACCATGAAGTCGTTGCGGATGGCCTTATCGACGTCGATATTGCAGTGTAGCTTGGCGACGTCAACGAGCGAGTTTCCCGAGGTGATGTCCTCCCAACGTTTTCCCGCCAAGTCGAGTTCACCATCGCCGTCTGTCAGGTCCTGCTCGTCCTCAAGGAGACTGTTGAGACTTTCCTCCATTTTCCGCCTGAGCTCTCGCACGCTCTCCTGCTGCGTCTCGTCGATATGCACACCATCAGCTGCTTCGATGTCGCGAAGGAGTCCGACAACAGCCTCATAGGCCTCCTCTTTGCGCTCGCGCTCCTGGAGCTTCTGCTTCCGGTGCTTCGCCCACACCGGACGTTGATTTGAGGAGATGCCCTTCACGGCGACGTGAAAAGCCATGGTGTCGAGGAAGCGATTCATGGTTCCACCAACGTTGTACTCCTCCAGTATGCGAGCCCGGTCATACGACACGTTGTGGCCGACAATGACGCGAGGGACGTCGGGAGGACCGAGGGGAATGAGCTGCTGCATGTCTTCGCTCTCGCCAAGGAGCCATGGGGAGACCCAGGCATACCACCCACTCGGGGTGACAGCTGTAGCCATAACGGCCCACGGGCTGTACCCCGGAATAGTCTCCACATCAAAGACCAACATCTCCTCTGGAGGATAGTCGACAGGTTCAGAGTAGCTAGAGCCGTCGGCATGGTGGTGGTACTTGGTCCAGCCTGACCGGACGTCCCACTCCTCAGGTTGAGGTTGCAGCTCCATGTCAACAAGGCGCTTAGACAGTGACAACCAGGGTTCCGCGGCGTGTGCACCGATTCGATGGAAGTGTTCGTCCAAGTTATTGCCTTGTAAAGCAGGAAGGGTGAAGCCTATATCGGGCAATACAGATCCCTGAGTGCGGTCCAGACCGTGCATTTGCAGGTGGTCCTGCGCGATTCGAACATAACGCGCGTCTGGCGGAGGGAAGGACACGTTCTTGAATATTTGCTCGTGTAGGCGGCGCGACAGGAGCTGAACGCCGACTTCGTTCCTCTTAGCTGCATAACATATCAGAATTGTATTCATAGCAACCAAAATATATACATACTACGAAGGGGTTGGGGCTCTTCGCGTCTCAGTGCGGCTACCGCTTGCTGGACAGGAGCATGCGCTGGACGCGTCTCCGAGGAGCGCTGTAATTGCGCTTGGGCGGAGAGTGATACATTGGAAGTATAGAGTGTTCGTCTCCGAGTAGCACATCGGACTATCGTCGCCTTCCACGCATACATGCGCACTGCATACGGAGAAGCCAAGGTGAGCGCAAGACGCCAGACGCGTCGACGCGAAGCGCGCGTCCGTCGTGCCGCGGAACCCACGGTCAAACGGATTCGCGAAGGCGCGTCGTTAGGGTCAGCAAATTTGGAATGTCCTTCGCCCCCTTCGGGGTGGCATACGAAAAAATTGGAACGATACAGAGAAGATTAGCATGGCCCCTGCACAAGGATGACACGCTTCTCCAGAGTGGTAGACCTACGGGTCTCAATATTTATTTTGTTCGCACACTTTACAAATTAATGTATCGCTTGCAAATGGAGGTCGGTTCTTGACAATCTGCCTTCGCGGTGTATGTCAACTTTGCTATACATACTGCATTGGTCGATAGATGGAGTGACCTTGACCAGACCCTCTGGGGACTATTCACCAACTCGTACTCTCCCTGACTTCCCTGACCCTCACTAACCAAGATGTCTTTCAGCGGCGAGTAATTGTTTATTGGACCGATGAAGTTGGTTGGTGATGAAGTTGGTGGGTTCGAACACAGAAAGGTATATCATTATTAGGTACTAGTATTCAGATGGTTAAGTAATCGGGTTCCGAGGTATGGCATAACCTTTGCCGAGTTTCCGACGATTGACCACGCGAACCCGTACAGTGTGATCTGGGTTCTATTCGGGCTAGGCGGCTATGTGGTGTGGGGTATAGTGAGTGGAGACTCCGCAGTATGTACAGACGATGGACTTGATACAGAGCGAAACATAGCAAACAAGCAATACGACGCATACACAAAAGCATGAGCAAACGACAAACAAGCAAAAGAGTCCCTATTCAGAGCAACAACGCGGTTCAAGCAAACAACATGGTATCCAGCCCCTCCGAGAAGTCCGTGACGAGGATCGTCTTATCGTATGAAACGCTACTCGCATGTGAGCACATTGACGAGCATGGTAGGAATATGGAGCTTACCTGACAATCTTGCAGCAGTCGAACTTGACGTCAAGGATATGGCTCCCTTGATGCCTCAAGAACTCCCTCACACACTTCCCGCTCCTCAAATCCCACACGCGCACGCTCATATCGTAGCTCGCACTGACGAGCTTTCCTGCCTCTGGGTCGAACGCGAGCGCGCGTACAAGATCGGTGTGGCCCGTGAGCGTGCTGAGGCACGCGCCCGTTGAAGCAGACCAGACTTTGATCTTGCTGTCGTTCGAGCCGGAGACGATGAGGTCGCCCTTGAAGTCGACGCACGCGTGTCCACGGGTGTGATCCAACACCCTCAAACACTCGCCCTTCTCCATATCCCAGAAAATTATCCGGCCATCTCCACTGGCGCTGACCAGCTTTCCATTCTGCATCGCAATTGAGTTCACGGGACCATCGTGCGCTTGCAATACGCGATGCAGTTTGAACGTGCGTCGATCCCAGATTCGAATGGTGTTATCTTTCGACGAGCTGGCGATCCAGCGCTCGTCGAAGCGGATGTCTAGAACGCCGCCATCGTGGCCCGTGAGGACTGCACGTTCATATCCTTCCACCTTCCCAGACTCGCGGTCCGCGACGCGAAGGGCCCAGACGCGTACAGTGCGGTCGCTGCTGCCGGTAATTAAGATCCCCTCGTCCTGATGAAGATCCCAATCCTCTTCGAATTTCAAACAAAGCACGCTCCCCACATGTCCTCTCAGGACTGCGAGAGGCTCTCCATCTCCGACCCTCCAGACGCGAACGGTATGGTCTCGTGCCCCAGTGACGATGCGAGCCGAGTCAAATGCCGCACAATAAACAGAGTTGGCGTGTCCTGCGATGCGGAGCTTGGTAGGCGCGAAGGAATCTGTGGACCAGCGCTCGTCCAGAGTCAGCCGAGTGCGGTATAGGGTTCGCCAAGGAAGGGTCAGGGGTGCCGCGGTCGTGGGCGGTGTAGCCGACGCAGCAGAGAGTGGACGCTCGGGTGAGAAGGGCGAAGGGGACAACACTATAGGCGTAGGCGGCGCGGGAGTCATGAATAATGGTGTTGCGTAGGGCGAAGGGCCGGCCGAACCCGACGGCAGGTTCTGTGTCTGCAGAAGCGGCAGACTCAATCGCGAGCGCGGGAGCTGGAAAGAGAAGTAGTCCATTCTTGTATCCGAAAGCTGCAAGTCGGGAAACTTCCAGCCCCGAGCAAGTGCCCGAGATAGATCAATGCGCCACCCCTCGCGACGGAAGAAGAGATCGCGCCAGACGGCGTTGTCATTCGCGAGGTTGCGCCAGGTGCTGGATACGCGCATGCACGTCAATATAGACGCCAGGTCGAGATGCCGTAGAATCAGCACGCCCAATTCACAAGGTAGCCTTGTGAGAATATCTATAGAACATAATGGTCGTGTGAACACCCCAACGGCTTCTGGAGTGGAAAGGGAAAAGGACATACCCATGCCGGTCTGTAAGCCAGCGCCGTCGGAGCCCATATCGCACGCCTCGTCGTCGATGAGTTCGCCCTCTTCGCCGTCCAGAGGCGGCAGATCGGCGTAGCTCATGTGCGGGTCGAACACAAACTCGGAATTTGCCCTGCCGGAGGTGGAGGACTTCTTATTTCGCGAAGGTGACGCGAGCACGTCCCACAGCTTCGACAACGTGCCCTTGTTCCCGGAGCGAGAGGATGGCAGGCCGTGGATGGTGTGGAAGCGCGTATGGCGCCTACTCCCTGCGTACTGACAGTCAAACTGGAACTCGTCGAAGCCCGGGCTCGGAGGGCTAATTATACTGAAGTCGGCCGTCGGCGCTGGCGAGCTCGGCCGTGTCACCGTCGCTGCGCGTGGCACCACGACATTCGCGCCGTCGACCAAGTCGAATAAATCGGTCGTCCCGAGTTCGAAGGCGGTCCGGTGCGCGAGTGGCTCGGGGTCGGTGTAGTAACGGTGAAGCTGAGTGTAGGGCCCAATGTCGGACAGGATAAATGGCGTCGGCCGCTCAGTACGACGACGCAGTTGTCGCCTGGGGAATGGTACAGAGCTCGTCGGTGCGGCCAGCGTCGAGGGACCCGCTTGTGCCCAAGAGGACGTCATGGCGGCTTGAGGTGACTTTGACCACACAGCACTTGCGCCGAGATCAATATCAACTTGACAGGGCCGGCCCGATTATCCGCAGTGGCCGGATCAAGGCCCAAGGGGGCGCCTCATAGTGGACGGGACCGCGCTCGTCCTCAACCTATATTCCGTGCGTCCACCACGGCGTGCCGTCTAATATCTGTTATCTGAGACCTCGTCGAGTCGTGAAGGTTGTCGGCGACCACCATGCTCTCTCGCTCCAGCAGGTCATTGCTACGCACCGCCGCTACGAGGCGGTACCTCTCCAGTCGCGCCTCGGGCGTCTTGAGTGCACTGGATATTCCGACTTCTGGCGCGGAATTAGACGGCGTATACGATGGCGCATGGAAGGGCTCCGGTGAGCTGCTCGAAAGTGTCTGTCCGACGACGGGCGAGGTGCTTGCGCGCGTCAAGACCGTATGTTCCTGCTCTTTACCCCGCATAACGTGAACCCAACGTCGCGTGCAGGCCACACCGTCCGAGCTCGAGGGCGCGATAGCCCGCTCTCGCGAGGCGTACGAGCATCTCTGCCTGTTGCCTGCACCACAACGCGGAGAGATCATCCGTCAGATCCGCGAGGCGCTCTCAGCGAAGGTAGGTAACTTGTCCGCTTGCTTTAGTCTAAAGCGTCCGAAGGAGGTGTGGCTCACCTTCTCGTGTATAGCGCGAGGCTCTCGGTGCCCTCGTGTCGCTCGAGATGGGCAAGATCAAGACGGAGGGTATCGGTGAGGTGCAGGAGTTCGTCGATATCGTGAGTTGTTTCGTTCTTGCGTATATGGGAGGCGTCACTGACTATGTCCGTACAGTGCGACTACGCAGTTGGCCTCTCCAGGATGATGAATGGCCGTTTGATAGCTTCAGAGCGCCCTGGCCATTCTATTCTCGAAGGTATGTGTGCCTGGACTTCTGTTCGGCCGAAGCAGAGTCCTGACATTGTCCCAAACAGTCCCGAACCCTCTTGGCGTAGTAGCCGTCCTCTCAGCGTTCAACTTCCCCGTTGCAGTCTACGGCTGGAATCTCTCCATCTCACTCGCAGCGGGTAACGCAACCCTGTGGAAGCCATCTCCTACTACGCCGCTCGTCTCGATCGCGACAACCAAAATGGTGTCAAAGGTGCTTGAGAAGAATGGTCTTCCTGGCGCTGTTGCCGGACTTGTAACGGGTGGGCAGTCCGTTGGCGAGACTGTCGTTGGTAGCAAAGACATCGACATGGGTAGGGTAATCTGCGAACAATGCACGAATGACGGCGCTCATGTCCTGCAGTTTCGTTCACTGGTAGTGAGCGCGTCGGCCGCATCGTTGGGAAGAACGTACAGGACCGCTTCGGCAAGGTGCTCCTCGAACTTGGTGGCAACAACGGTATATTTTCCCGACATCTCGACCTGCACTGTTCTCACACTACATGGCAGCTGCGATTGTGATGCCCGACGCCGATCTGTCTCTCGCTGTCCCTGCTGTATTCTTCGGCGCAGTCGGCACAGCCGGTCAACGCTGCACCTCAACGCGTCGTCTCTATCTGCACAAGTCCATCGCACCCGAGTTCATGTCGCGTCTTCAAAAAGCATACAGCTCACCGGCTATCAAGCCCGGCGATCCTCTGGACTCCGCCACCCTCCTGGGCCCGCTGCACACCCGTAGTGCGTTAGGTATCTACGACGAAGCCATCTCCGAGCTCAAGAAGAGTGGCGGTGAGGTCGTTGTGGGCGGTGCGAAGTTCAGTGGGTTGCAGGACCCGCTCAGCGGAGGCAACTTCGTACAGCCCACCATCGCACGCCCTGGCTCATCTGACCCGGCGCACCCCGTTTGGTCGACCGAGCGCTTCGCTCCCATCCTGAACGTCGCGGAGTTTGAAGATCTTGAGGAGGCAATCAAGTGGAACAACGCTGTTCCTCAGGGTCTGTCTTCGTCACTGTGGACCAGGGATGTGAGGAACGTCGGTAAATGGATCGGGCCCGCTGGCAGCGACGCTGGTATTGTCAACGTCAATGTTGGGACCAGTGGCGCGGAGATCGGTGCTGCATTCGGTGGGAACAAGAGTACCGGCTGGGGAAGAGAGAGCGGTGGTGATGCATGGAAGCAGTATGTGCGCTGGAGTGCTTGCACGGTGAGTACCGTACGAGTGTTGAAAGTTACCATGAGGCTGATGGGCGTGCCACAGGTCAACTTCTCGGATGCCGCGCCACTCGCGCAGGGTGTCAACTTCAACGTCTGAACTTCATGCTCGAAGCGTCGGGATCGACGCACGGACGATTATGCGCTTACTATTGGTACTTAGCTACTAACGGATGGCGCACATCAATGACAACGTGCAATATCACATTTTCGAGGCGTGCTCGTGTCCCTTGGATGATCATACACCGACCCTCGTCTTGCTCTCATCACGCAAGCATGCACTCCGAACGACTCATCGTCAGATGGTCTCTGGCTGCATTCGGCATCTTGTTTGAGACGAAGCTCTGCCTTGTTCTAAGCATAGCTGAAGCCCGAGGGTCGCACTGTGCGCGCGTAAGGCGCCTCTTCGTAGCTACAACAGACCGTCCGCCGTGCAGTGCTTTCAGCTCCGGCAGGAAAGGCTTTACTGCGGAAGCACGGCATATTGTACTGCGGGCTCTGCGATCCCGTGGTGAAGGGAGGATATTGTTCGGGGTAGTGACAGTTGAGATATAGCCGCCGAACGAGAGCTTCAAAGCATGAACGTGGCCTCAACGCGTCGAGACTTGGACGAAAAAAGAAGCACGTCGAGTACAGACGCCGAAAGCACAAGGGGCTTCGCTATGACTGCATATGTTCACGGGTACAGGAAAGCGGCAAGAATACAACTAGAGCGCGTCTCGACCCGTCCGGTTGCGCAGTGGACCGAAGCAACGTGGGCGCGGATGGGCCGGGCCAAAATGCAAACCGGGCTGGCATGCGGGCCATCGCGACCGCGCCGTGGCAGCTAAAACGAACGGCCAAGTTGAGAGTCTGATTCCTGCATCCACCACCCACCTGCACCCCACCCTCATTAGATAGGTATATTCACAATGGCGAGCCTCGCGTCACCCTTCAACACGAAGGCGTCTGCTGGCCAGGCGGCGCCTGCAGCTGGCTCGCTCAGTGTGGAGAACATGTTCGGCCAGATCATGGAGGCCGTCCAGAAGTCGGTCGGTCCCTCTCCGCTCGCGCGCGTGCTGCCGTATTTAATACTCGACATGCAGCACGCGGAAATTGCGGAACTACGCCAGGAGTGCAACGACCTCCGTCTCCAGAACTCGAGCTTGGAACGCCAGCTCAAGGAGTCGCTCGTGCGTCTTGCCAGCTAACTATTGATCTCGTACAGCTCTAAGCGAATATAATACCAGAACAACACCCGCATAGGTACCCCGCCAGGCTGGCTGACACCAGCGATCCCAGGCTCGCCCAACTTGCGACCCAAGACGCCGTTCCTGTCCGCCAACGCCGTCCCGGCCCTTGCGACGCCGCCCATCGTCTTTGCGCCATCCTCTCTCGGTGACAACCGTGTAAACTCCGCCTACCCGCTCGACCACATCCGAGAGATCCCGGGCTTCTACGTCGTCATCCCCGCAGGAGGCGCCGGCACCCGTCTCTGGCCGCTCTCGCGCGAAGGTCACCCCAAGTTCTTATTGGACTTGACGCTCAAGGGCCGTTCGCTCATCCAAGCCACGTGGGATCGTCTCTTGCCTCTTTCGGGTCAGAACCGTACGACCGTCGTCGCTGGCCCTTCGCACGTCAAGAGCATCCATGAACAGCTTCCTGATCTTGAACTCCAGAACTTGTTCTGCGAGCCCGGCCCGAAGGACTCTATGGCTGCTATCGGTCTCGCCGCTGCCGTCCTCGCCCGTCGCGACCCCGAAGCTGTCATCGGTTCGTTCGCTGCCGACCACATGATCTCTGGCGACGATGCGTTCTTAAGCGCCGTCACCGAGGCCGTACAAGTCGCGCGTCAGGGGTACATCACCACCATCGGTATCGCGCCTTCGCACCCGTCGACTGGATTCGGTTACATTCGTCTGGGTGAGAAGCTTGACGTATCCGGTGCACCCAACGCTCGCATCGTATCCAGCTTCAAGGAGAAGCCTGACGCACGTACTGCCGCTTCGTACATCGCGACGGGTAGCTACCGCTGGAACGCCGGCATGTTCGTCGTCAAGGCCCAGGTGCTCATCGACCAACTGGAGAAGTACAAGCCTGAGATTGCCGAGGGTTTGAGGAAGATTGCAGACGCTTGGGATGACGAGACTCGGCGCCAGACCGTGCTTGAGGAAGTGTGGCCTGGTCTTGAGAAGATCCCGATCGACAATGCCGTTGCCGAGCCCGCTGCGCTCGAGGGCAAGGTCGCGGTCGTACCCGCTACTTTCGGTCAGTATCCCCGTCACGAGCATGTGCAAGGCTTGTGCTGACGGCATATTGTATAGGTTGGGACGATGTCGGAGACTTCTCGTCGCTCGCGGAGCTTCTGCCCGCAGACGCATCGCAGCCCAAGATCCTCGGTGACAACGCTCTCGGTAAGCCCTCTCCGTGCATCCCGATGCTTGACCTCGTGTTGACCCGCTTGTCTATAGTGCTCACGGAGCAGGTTGCTGGCGGCATTATCGTACCGGGCTCAGGCCGTCTCGTTGCCTGCCTAGGTGTGGACGACCTTGTCGTCGTCGATATGCCAGACACCCTCCTCGTCACTACCCGCGCCCGTTCTCAGGAGGTCAAGAAGCTCGTGGCCAAGGCCAAGCAACAGGGCTGGAAGACCCTCCTGTAGACGTCGCCTCTCGAAACTCGAACTCCCCAACTCGCACCATCGACATTTCAGTAATACCATCAAATGGACTTCTCTGTGCACCCTTCGAACCCGAACCAGTACCAAATCAGTCTATGTCTCCATTGAAATCATCTTCCCTCTTGTTTTCAATCCGCTATACTCTCTGGAATTCTCCTACGCACGCATATTCTTTGCATAATGGAACTCTCCTGTCAATCGTGTATTTATATCGATATCATCGTGTTGGGTCTACAAGGCCATCTCGAAACCTTTCCAATCATTGTTCGAACTCGTACCTCTAGACTCCCTAGCCTCGTAAGCAGCCCGCTATCTGAGCGTGAGGAGGCAGCGGTCTGGTAACGTATCACCCATCCGGTCCTGCGAGCGTTAAACGCGGGCCTGGGCCCATGTGTAGTTGTGGCGCGTGGGAATTGTCTCATTATCAATACCGAGCCTGTTTAGTTGGTCGCGGCGTTGTCTTCAACCACCACTGTTTGAGCCCCCAAAGCCCTCACTTGAGCCCCATTCGATATGAACAAACATCGCGCAGCCTCTCAGTACGTTCACTCCGCCCTCGCAACCACCGGTAGCCATTCAATGAACCCACAGGGACGCATGGGATATTTTCTTGCGATCACGCTTCGAGAGTTGCGCCCGTGCCAGCTTCGAAGATACCGCCGTGAAGCGCGCTCACTTGGCCGATCTTGAGCTCGAGACGATGCTGGAGCGCGTCGTGTTCGCTCGACAGCAGCGTAACAAAGTCATGGGTGCTTGCCGCCTGCCGCCGGAGGTCTTGAGCAATGTCTTTTCGCTTGTGCAGCTTGACAAAGGCTGTAGGCCGAAGGTTCGACGCGTCGAGGGCCCCGCTATCGACGAGGAACCTCAGGATCCCACGGCGGGCTATTCTTCAGGGTGGATGTGCCTGTTACATGTGTGTAGCTATTGGCGGCAGGTGCGTCGCATCTTCTTCTGTATCTCATAGGAGTATATGTCTGACTTATCTGAATCTATAGACGGCTCTTGGAACCCCTTCGCTCTGGTGTAATGTCCCATGCTTGGATGTCCACCCCGACTCCATACCGACGCTTCTGGCTCGCTCTAGGGGCCTACCACTATCTCTTGTCCTATATGGATCTATCTTACCCGGAGAAGAGAACGGCATGCAGGGCGACTATCTGGATATGGAGCTTTCTGAGCACTGGTTCTCCAAACCTGTTCTCCGTCGCACAAGGCAGCTACTACTGGACGATATACCCGACGCCTATCTGGACAAGTGGTTTGGTAACTTTCGCCACCCGATGCCTCTTCTCGAGACATTCAAAGCCACCTGTCTACGTCAAAGTGGATACGAGGTCCCCCTACCAATCGAGGTATTCTTCAGCCAAACCCCACTGTTGCGGAGCGCGACAATTACTGGCCTCGTCCTGCCGAACGACTGGAAAGATGTGCAGTTTCCGACAAACATCGAGCATCTCGCTTTGGGCTTTGACAATGACGAATCGCAAGAAGACGTACAGGAACAGTCCGAACCCACGTCTCAGTCCTTCTACAAGTCCCTATCGGTAATGAAAGGCCTTAAGTCACTCAGTCTCGGCGACATCTTTCCCGACTTGCCCAATGAAGAAGATCCGCCTATACAGACGACGATATACCTTCCGGTTCTTACAGATTTGCGCTTAGCCACCTCGACTGATTTTCCTGAACGCTGCATGGACGTCTATCAACGGCTATCAGTCCCGGATCGCGCGCGCGTTACTCTCGATATCGCAACCGTCAACCCGGAGTACGACTACCAAGACCGTCTTCTCGAGCATATAATCAAGCTCTTCGGACCCGCGGCGACTGCGACGCCAATCTCATTGTGCGCAAGCAGTACCGCTCTGAGCATGGAGTACACAAGTTCCATATCATTAGGCTCGCTTCTTCGGCAGGAGATCCCTGATGACCGCCGTCATGACTGGGCAAACTGGAGGCTCGGGGAGGGCGCGAGGGCTCTTTGGACGCAACATGGGACGCTTGCATGCTCGATCTTGCCGTTCTTCCGACTTCTGCCGCTGCGCACGTTACAGGCCATCACATTCATCGATTCTTTCGAGGACTCGGTGACGACGCCCCCTGAGTGGCTTAGCTCCTTTGTCGTCGCGCGGAACGTAGAGGGCATTTCGATCCATTACTACGACGCTCTTACCATATTCGACGCTTTGAGCGAAGCGTCGTGGGGTACCATGGGATCTATGCTCTTCCCTCGACTATCCACCCTCGCGCTGCATGCGTACTCTTACCAGAGGCATTCAAAAGAGAAACTTGCGAACATGCGGACGTCTTTGGACGTGTTACTCCTCGACTTGCTACACGTGAGGAAGGAGAAGGGTGTTCCCATTGAGACGTTGTGGGTGTCTCGAGCATTTGCGGGTTGGGACGTTTGGGGAAGAGCCGCGGAGCTTGCTCACGTGAGGTTTTTCTGATGCGCTTATGACCCCCTTCGAAGGAGTACTCGGTGATCACAGTATTTTACCGTCAATATGAGTTGTCGACTCATAAGTACAGACAATGAAATTTTTCTTCTATGTAAAGGGACCCCATCACCCTGCATCTGAACGTATGGTTCGCGGCATACATGGATGCGAATTGGTGCCAACGTGATCACGAGTTCAGTATGTCTACGTCGACCATCTCCTTCAAAAGAACGAGGGCATCCTCGTCCAACAAACCGCAGTGAATGCGCAACTTCTGCAGCGGCCTCCCAGCAAATTTCCGCGTGTACACGAGATTCGTGAGGCTGATTTGCAACGCCACTGATCTCTTGTGGTTGATTTCCACCTCATTGCCCACCTCGTCCTTTTCGCGGAAGATTGCGATGACCTTCAGGAAAGGGAATAGGGCAAATTCGTGAGTCGGTCCCGCGGGCGGGGATTCCGCTAGTGCGCATAGGAGGGGAAGAAGATTCTGGGCGAAATGTAGCGCAAGTTGATCGACGTGAGCCGCCTTCGCGAAGGTCGTCATCCACTCTTTGCCGTCCTGGAATGCGAGCACGGCGTCACCCGTAATCGCGAGTCGATACACTTGCCCCATGTCCAGCAGCGGCAGATAGGATACGAGAGAGTTGGTGTTGTCTCGACTCGCTTCGTTTTCGTTGTTGCCAGGAATGTGCAGCCGCCTTTCCCCCCGTGCCCATTTATGCCGAGCCCACTCTATACCATCACTAGAGAAGCCGGCCAGCCACATTGCTGATAGTGTAAGCACGACGCATCTGCGACCGACGTGTAACTCGAGGCAGCCATCTGGAGGCGCCAAAAAGAAGTGAGGCATGACTAGAGACACGAGAGAGGGTTCTGCCCCTGCACACACTTCTGTGCGTACGCGAGCTTTTGACTTGTGAGGTAACACTAGTAGCAGCAGTGTTGCCAAGCAGTCGTTGACCACCTCGAAAGACCTCGCTAATAGGTCCATCGAGATCAGACTGTCGGGAAGGGGTACGGTATATTCCGCTCCGAATGGTGCGCCGTGCGATATGGGGAAAATGTTGCACAGGGTGAGGTCCTCCAGAGCCCGCGCGCGAGCAATAACATCGCGCAACTGCAAGAATGACGGTCGGAGCGCTATCTGCGGAGGATGGGTCGCCTGTAGCCGAAGCTGAGTGAGATTTGCGGTAGAAGGGAGTGGAGACAGCCAGGGAATGTGACAGTCGAGGACGTCAATGATCGAGAGTTGAGGCGAATTAAACAGCTCAAGAGGGAGCAGAACGTCATCCAATGAAAGTGGCGCCACCGTCAGATTGAAGACTAATCTTGTCAGATCTGGCATTGATGTGCGGAGGAGAGGGATCCAGGTTTGCAGAAATCGGCTCTTGGATTCCACAATCACCAGTTCGCTCATACGATGACAGACAGGAGGGCATATCCATATGCCAGGTATATCATCCGATGGGGAGCCATCTACGTGATCTGGTCCATGGAAAAAGAGCCTGAGTTTGGTTTGCCGCGAGCGAGCGAGGATGGCGGGTATAGAACGTATTGGGAAGCCATAGCAGTATATCTCACACCACAGTGATGACGACGAGAGCGCGACCTTATCATATCAGCGGGATCATTTGTGAGAAAAGTTAGGGTAACATACCTCTCTCCATCGGCTACATACGTGGCACACAGCCGTCCACCCCAATCCACCTCCACCCCTTTGCCAATTTTGGCTGGGTATCCAGTCCGGTTGCAGGAACCAGAATATCCTGCTCAGTACTTCCGCCGGGAGACTACAGGCGAAAGAGCTACTAGCGTTTCTGAGTCTTCGTGCCGAGGCAAGTGTGCGGGGGTCTTGCAGTATCTCGAGCTCGTGATCGAGCAGAGCCGTCAACGTCGCGTCGCGCTTTGCAAGCCGGCCACCGTCGCCGAAACGGGACAGGATGAAGGCATCCCATGCCGCATGACTATATCTGAGTCAGTGAGTGACTTAGTATGAGGAATGCCACGACGAACCTTGGAGTCGCGAACGACATGATGAGGGCACAGAGCACACAGGCGCAACTCGCGTAAGTGCCTCAGGGATCTGTGACGAGACGCGTAGGTCACACACAAGTTCCCAAGCACGCTCGCGCAGTCACTCAGCGACGACTACCATGTCTCCACCACCATCTTCCGCAAGGTAAGATCTCAGCCTTCTATAGAATGCGAGTCTAACCTAAGCACTGCAGCGTTGATGTCTGGAAAACATTTGTTTTATCCCGATTTGGTTCCCCCGATGACACATCTCGTCCAGCATCCACGAGGACCGCACAACTAGATCATGAGCTTGAAATAATGCAGGATCCGCACATACTTGTTCTAGCAAAACGGAGACGGAACGACAGTCTGCTGTGCTGCACTCTTCCCCACGAAGTCCTCTCTCGCGTGATGTGGTTTGCGCAAGCGGCTTGGTCGCCCGAACGAAGCTTTCCCAGTGGTGAAGTGTCTCTGGGATGGATAGTCGTGACACATGTGTGTAACTCATGGCGTGAGGTGAGTCTGGCCAGTAATTCCTTGTACTGGAGCCCTCTGAATGACAGCCGCGTAGGTTGCGCTGTCGTCATCTTCACTATGGTGCGACATACGTTGTTACGCGCTCCCAGTCAGCGCTGTTCCAGCCTTGATAGAACGTTCCCGCCAAAGAAGACTCAAGCTATCATTTTTCAACTATCCTGACGGCGATGCGCCGTTGGAGTCCAAGATGTCCGCCCTGCGACAACTCTGGTTATCGCAACCAATTCGCACGTACGCGAGGGAACTCATCATCCGCGACACGGTATCTCGTTGGTCCTCCAGATCATGGGCCCAATATCTGCGTCATCATATGCCCAAACTCCAGGAAGTGAGAATCACACTTCATGCGCGAGGACAGCGCATCGGCGTCATCTTGCCAGACGATTTCCTCGGTCCTGGGTCCCTTCCGACGGCTCTCGACACTGTCGTCCTCGCGAACTGCTACCTACCTTGGACTTCACACCTTTTCGGTGCGGGCATCAAGGTTCTGGATCTCACCATGAAGCTTCCCGAAGAAACCGCGCCGCCACCCTCAGCAACACAATTTCACGATGCACTTTCTCGGTTAACGAACTTGGAGACCTTGTCGCTACATAATGTCTTTCCAACCTTTTCGGACTCCAGGCATCCCATAATTGAACTTCCTGCGAGCCTCGGAGTTATCTCGTTGGTCGCTTCCGTCCCATACCTAGCATCTCGTGCTGTCAAGACGCTGCAGTGTATGGCGCTGCCGATTGATACGCGTTGCGAACTTGACTTGTTCCACGAGTCGGACACTTCACTCATCTCGGACGCGCTCTCTCATCTCTTCCTACTTCCTCCGCTACCGCCCAGCGAACTTCTTCTGAGCTCGGTGAAGATCGTGACACTACTCTCCGAAGAGTGGATCTCTGGAAGCCCCGAATACGGACCGCATGGGATCGATAGACCAATGCAATACAGGTCGGAGAAGCGACTTTCGGTTCAGAATCGACATGAAGAAACACCCGGGATGGAGCTTCTCTCGCTTTTACATCTTATACGGATGCATACGCTGACGCGGTTGGCTATTACCAGCGATGCCATACAGCTCTTCTCCGATGTCGAGGTCTGGAAGACGACGTTCGCTGCTGCAAGCGAAGTTTCGTGCCTCGCACTGTCACATACCCCTGAACTCTTTCATCTCCTCTGCGCCCTTACCGAGACGGTGACGGACGCGGGAAGCGAGACTTTTGCCTTGTTCCCTCGCCTGAAGGTCATCACCTTCAATCGTGATGTTGCCTTAGACAGCCGTAGCAAGCCAAGAGACGCCAGCGACGTCGAGGCCGCACAGTTGCGCCTAGCCTTACTCAATCTTTTACTCGCACGTCAGCGCACAGGGGTATCTCTCGACGAAGTAAGGGCGGAGGCCGGTATCCTTGGACAGGAGGAGAAGCAACGCATCGCAGAGATTGTATCGGTCCGTATATTTGAAGAGCTTTAGGGCTTGGATGCAAAGAGTTGTTCGAATGTCCTCAACGGAGTGGACAGTAGACGATGGTGCAAGATGATGATGATACAGTGAGCGTGATATTCATTTGTATACTGTACAAGTCGTAAGCCTCGAAATAGCAATAAAGGGGATGGGAAGTCGCCAATGGAGGACGGAAAGTTGTTTGTAATAGGTACAACGAGGTCTACTGGTACGGAAGATGTACCGGAGTAGCATGAAACAAGAATAAGAGTAATGTCCATGATTGATAAGCCTAAAGATATTCGTGATCGATGTCATAAGCCGTCATATATCCAGGGGTCTTCGGAACGATGCGAGGCATGGGCTAATGGGTGAGATGCAGAGCAATGACCAAAGCCACGACAAAGGCAACGATCACGAGCACACCGCTCACTACAGCGGCGATGCGACAGCGCAACACCCAGACCTGCGGCCCCGGCGTCTTCAGGTCGATCAAGCTATGCGCGAGGCTCTTCTCGCCAGAGCTCTTCGCAACATACGAGGCCCATCGCTCGTGCCATGCCGCCGTCTCCCACTGACTGGCTTCATCATCCCCCTTCCCCTTCTTTCGTGAACTTCCAAAGAGCGACCGCCGCGGCTTCAGCTTCACCTCGTTCCCCGAAGAATCCAACAACCGTCCGTCGACGCGCCATAACGGCAGCCTGGTACCAGGAGGCAATTTCGGCGGCGCGGGCTTCACATCGAATCGTCCGGTGTCGAGCAGCCAACCGCCAATCATCCAGCACGGTGGCATCACGAAGCCGACCCAGAAGAGTAGCTTCGGCGGTGCGGGTAACCATGTGGGCCACTGTCGTCGTGTCGATGTTGGTCTATGCGCGCTGCTGACAGATAGCGAGTTCGCCCAGCGCCTAAAAATGAACGTGTCGCCCGAAGTTTGGTGCTCCATGCGCGGCGCGGGAACAGCGATGGGAATGTACAGTGTGGAAGATCCGGGCCCTGGTGTGGGCGGGTGGAGACCAATGGACGGGACATCGAACACAGGTTCGTTCGTGAGAGTGCGCCCCGTCAGAGACGCGCTCGAGGGCGGCGTGCGCAGATGCACCTCCTGTGGTTGCGACAGATCCACGAACTGGCCCAACTCGCCCGCCGTGAGCACAGATGGCATCGGCGCAGCGCGTATAGGGGTCGTGAGCGCCGACGGCGCAGTGACGAAACTGCTCGAACCCTCCGAAGTGCTTCCCTCGTACAGCCTAGCAGCGCGTGTCCCATGCCCCTCAAGGTTCATCATCTGCGTATGACCCTGCGACGACAGAACAGGCGTAGGAATAGTCGTGCTCGAGGCCTGGCTCGTCGAGCGCTTGATGGGCCGATGCAGGAATGCCGAGTAGTTGGAAACTGCGCATCGTCATTAGTACATGCACGGATTCCACGTTGGGGACATGCGCCATCGCAGCGGGCGACGCAGGTGCGAAAAGACGCAGACTCACCAAGTGAAGCAGGCGTGGAGGGCTCCGCGGTCATCGTGCGCATTGAAGAATGAGTCTCGTATATGGGTGACAGTTGTTGAACATAGGCGGGGACGGTGGTCATCTGCAGACTGCGAGTACTGGGTTGCTTGAGGATGCTCTTGAGCGGTGCGCGTGCTCGATTCGAGCTGGGCAGGTCCGACAACGATGCCGACTGTCGCAGCGGCGAAATCGGGGAAGACGCAGGGCCCAACGACGTCGGGGGCGCAGGGAAGTGATCCAACGATGGGTCGGAAGACGATGCTTCTGGAAGTAGCCAGTTTATATGAGACGTCGACGGGAACGTGCTCGGCTCGCGCCCATGTCCAAGATCCTTTGTTGATACCGACAAAGGCGGGCCAGACGGGCCACTGGACAAAGACGATGCATTGGACGGCGTATTGCGGCCGCGCGTGGTGATGGAGCCGCCAGAAGATACATCGGTAGACGTGCCTGCAGCGGGCATCCTGAGCCGCGATGGGAGGGCGGTTCGCTCGACGTCAAGCTTCGAGCTCGAGGGAAAGACTTGAGCCATCGGAACAGCGTCAGAATGTGCGAGGCCGACACGAGTGGGCAGAGTGTGGCCCGAGCAACTTATATAGTGAGAAACGAGGAACAATAGGTACAGGCGAAGAAGAATGAAGAATGAAGAGAAGTGGTTCAACCACTGATGGGAGGGCTGTCCTTATATGCAGGAACCTAATGCAACGCGAGGCAGGGTGGCCCAGGCGGGGAGGCGGACATGCGGCGGGGTAGCGGTTGGACGATGCGCGCCATCATCATTCTTTGGAATGGGCTCGTCTTTCTCGAAGGCCTTGAGAATGGGCTGTGCGCGATAGCGCTAGCGGTCCCGCAGAAATGCAGATGAACCCGGGACCGCGAGTAGGATCTCCGGGTGACGACCGCAAGGGATCTCCTGGTAGTCGAGAGCAAACCGGTCTTCCTAGTTGCGCGTCACTGCGACCGGCAGCGCTCTGATATTCGTACGGGGGCAGGAGCAGTGGCAATGCATTACCACATTCACTGCTTGCGCTTGAGGCTGACACTCAGTAAAACGATATGTGAAGTGTGAGAAACAAAATAAATATTGAGACCCGTAGGTCTACCACTCTGGAGAAGCGTGTCATCCTTGTGCAGGGGCCATGCTAATCTTCTCTGTATCGTTCCAATTTTTTCGTATGCCACCCCGAAGGGGGCGAAAGGGGTTCCAGATTGAGTGACGCGCGACGCACAAGTTGGCGAATCGTGTCTGCCGCGGGTTTGATGGCGGCTCTGCAGCGGGAGATGTGCGCGTTCTCCCTTTCGCCTTTGCTCTTCGATGACGATGATCACCGACTTCACAGGAAGGACGAGTCTATAGGCACCATGGTTCCAAGAACCCTTCCACACAATATGCAGCTCGGTGTGTCCGGCAGCACCGATATCGTACGAGCGGTGCAAATATCCTATCTCCCCTCAGCCTCGATGTTCGCGGTATCATCGGACTACGTGGCATATTTCTACCACATGCGCACATTCTCTATTCTTTTCATGAGGCGTCCATACAGGCACTGGCAACCCAATAACCCAGTGTGAGCCACCGTCGACATGTCATTGTCAGGGAGCGCTCTGCCCAACTGGACCGGTATGGCGGTCTCCAACTGCATCCAGTTATACGCCATTCTACAAATACGCTCTCTCAGCTCCACATCTCGGTATCTCTCTGCGTCTTCGAGATGTGCGAGCACATGCCTCCGTCCCTGTTCCTTGCTCAACGTGCCGGGCCGCGCAGCCGATAACGGTCTTCCACCATGTATTCGCGGCTATTCTGCTGGTCCGCACCTCTTCTATCAGGTTTGCAGCTGCGTCACATATCACAAGTCAGCTTCGACGAGATTACGGTCAGCCGCGGATGTCTCATAAGGAGGACGAGCTGGTGCCATGAGTCTGACGAACGCCAGTCCTGAGTTTTTCCTTGCGGTTCGTCCAGACATGTTCGGAAGCCCGCAACGCGTACTCGCTCTGGCGACCGGGACGTATGCTGCGACTATCTCAACAACGCCGCTACAGACCGTCAATGGCTTTGGCGCGAGCGGTGCGTGGTGGGTGAAGGACCTCGCGCTCTTCCCTGCCGACGTGAGGCAGAACGTCAGCGAGCTCCTGCTCAACCAGACGAGTGGTGCGTTATACACTTCTTGCACTCATCACCTGCGCTAACATGGTCTATTCCGTACAGGGCTCGGTCTCACGGACTACCGCTATAACCTCGGTGGCGGCGGCGTGGGCGTTGGTACATGGGACCGTGCACCCGAGACGCCGTACATCAGCGATGGCAACTACAACTTCAGCGCGGACGAGGCGGGCACGTTCTTCCTGAAAGAGGCTGCTCGCCATGGCGTGCCCATCATCACCCTCTTCGTGAACAGCGCGCCGACGACGTTCACCAACAACTCTCAGAACTGCGGCGGTACGCTCATCGACGACCGCATACCGGCGTATGGACAGTATATCGCGGATGTCGTGAGCTATTGGAAGACGCAGGGGGTCAACATCACGCATGTTTCGCCGATGAAGTGTGTGCCTCTCATGCCTTGTCTCGTATTAAGGTCTGACGCGATACCACAGCGAGCCGGACAACAACTTCGACGACGGTGACCCGACCACCTTGTGCGGCCAAGAGGGCATGCAAGTCACCCCCGAGCAACGAGCAGCAGTCGTCTCTTCGCTACACACCGCATTCGCGAACGCAAGCCTCAGTACGCAGATCATAGCCGACGAGTCGAGCAGTACCGGCATCTTCACCGGCGACGCGCCCATCTGGCTTTCACCTACCGTTGGCGCCGAGCTCGCGGCAGTTGCGCATCACCAGTATAGCTTCAGCAGTGCGAGTGCTCAAGCGAACATGACGGCTCTTGCGAAGAGCTTAAGCGGCGGGACACCGACGTGGTTCACGGAGATCTGCTGCTATGCGCCTACGGATGGCACTGGGGCAAACAACACTGACCCGCTGGCTACTATTGGTTGGGGACAACAGTATGACCCGACGATGGTGGGCGGGTTGCGCATGGGCAATCTGGTCTATCAGTCGCTCGTAGACGCCGGGGACGCGCACTGGGATTGGTGGACTGCGTTGTCGAACGGATTGGGGTCGTGCTCGCCGAGCAGTGGTGACGCTGGTTGTGAGCATGAAGTGAACGAGGAGGGCTGGGACGATGGTACGTTTCCCACATGTGCGCTAACTCTGTGAAGGTGCTGACCTGTGTTCACGTAGGCATCATCTACTACGACCCCGACTTCAACAGCACCGGCAACTACGACGTCATACTGACCAAGCGCTTCTGGATACTCAAGCACTTCGCCCGCGCAGCGCCCGTCGGTGGTTCGCTCTTGACCGTATCAACCTCGGGCACAAATGAGACGAGCTGGCGCGCGATGGCGTTCACCGCGCCTGGCTCGAGCGACTTGTACGCCATCGTGGCCATGAACATGCAATGGAATGCCAGCACACTATCGCTCACCTTCGACGGCGCTGGTCTACCAGCCGTGAGCTCGGCGTTCCGCACGAGCGTAGACGAAGACTGGGCGGCGGTTACACTGGATGTGGCGGACGGTGCGCTTGTGGTTGATGCACCAGAGATGAGCATCTACACGATCTTCTTCTGAGCCCAGGCGCGGAACGGTACAGATGACAGGATAATTGGGGATTATGACAGCTGGACGGCCCGGGTATGTACATAGAGAACCTCCACAACAAGTAGCGAAGCGAACCAAGGATATGTTGCATCGTCATGAGGACAGTGAGGTTGGAGTATAGTGAATCAAGTGAGAGTGGATGGCACACATGCAAGAGGCACGGAAAGGGATATATGTATGGGAGTTTCAGGAAATTGAGATAAAGAACAGGTGTAGGGAGCGAGGTCATGCGGTACAGTCACCGGAAAAGGAAGCGCCGCTGCCACCATTGAGTATGGTATCGATTGCTCCGGATGGGGGACGTTCAGATATACGGGCCGAGTCGGGAGGGCAGGAATGAAAGCAAGATGAGAGCGGAGAGAGGAGATACAACAGTGAGAACCAAGCATAGGGTGGATGTGGGAATTAGATAGTGGCGGTCGGGACGGCCTGTGAGGCCGCTGCGGCGAGGACGGTCGCGGTGGCGTCTTCGCTCGTGGGCTGCTCGTCTTTGGGCTCAGCAGCGGCCGGCGTCTCCTCGGACGTCTCGACTGGGCTGGGCGCGATGACTTCTGCGGCAGCGGCAGTGATGGGAGACGCCGGAGCTTCGGGCTCCGCCACAGCCTCGGGCGCGGGCGACGAGGAGGGCTGCTTGGCGAGTGCCGCCTCCTCGGCGTCGTCCGCCTCAGGAAGCGGCATCTCGGCAGCGCTGGTAGCCTCGTCTTCGGGCTTCGCAGCATCCGCCTCAACCGCGGGCTCTGCAGCGGGAGAGGTGGCGGCAGTCTCGGCATTCTCCGTCTGCTCAGTCTCCTGCGGCTTGGACTCGAGCTCGACCTCCTTGACGCCCTGCGTGACCGCCTTTACGCCAGGATCCGTCTCCTTGCCCGCTGGAGTGAGCTCGCCCATGTCCGAGGCCTGGCGCTCGATGCCTGATGCGACTCGGCGCTTACGGGCGATGCTCGCGTTCTGCTCAACCTCATCCTCTTCATCATCGTCAACACGGCGCTTACGCCCGATCGTAGGCGCGCTCGACGTCGCTGAAAGCGCGATATTCAGCGTGTGATCCAGTCAAAAGTATGGGAATGACATACCATCTTCGGACCACGGGCGGTCAGGGCGCGAATAGAGCGAAGAAGAGACGCGGCGGATAAGCTTGAACATGATTAGATGGTATACGAGTGCAAGGGATGAGTGTGTGGGGTATATCTGGTTCGAAGAGATGGACTTCGAATGAAAGTCGCGTCGTGGTCGCGTTCGTCCGTGTCAAACGCGCTTCGGCACTCCCCGCCACCCACTTCATCTTAGACGCCCACGAGCCACAACCGCAAACACGCCCTTGATGTAGCCCAGCCGCATGTTCTGTATGTGTACATGCCTCGCGGCGGAACACGCAGCAGTCAAAAGAATATTCCGCAGATGCCAGCGAGGCAGGGGCAAAGATCGGGAAAAACGAACTTCAACGTGGCAGCGGTCAGGTGATGGGCGATCAAATATTTGATCTCGAGTTATCTTGACTCGCGGTTGCTTCGAGTCTTCGCGCGTCTGTATCTCGGCTTTACTTTGCCCTCATACCACCACCACTATGACGCTTGACGTGCTGCACTTCATCGATGCCAAGGGCGGCAACGCCGAGGAGATTCGCGAGTCGCAGCGGAAACGCGGGCACTCGGTCGAGATTGTGTACGAGATTATCCAGATGTACGCGGATTGGGTGCGAAGTACGTGTGAGCAACATGGCGTGCAGACAGACCCTAATTTTGACTGTAGTGGACTATGAGGCAACAAATATAAATAAAGAGATCAACGCGGTACAGAAGCAGATCGGCGCAAAAAAGAAGGTGCGTCTGCTCGCGTGCGTCTAAGATTCCAATATTGACGAGCAAGATCATGTAGGCCAAGGAGAATGCGGATGATCTTGTGGCTCAAAAGAAAGAATTGGACGCCAAGGCAGCGGCAAAACGCCAGGAGGCGAAGGACTTCGAAATTACGATGCGCAAGCGCGCGAGCACCGTTGGCAATCTCATCGCCAAGGGTGTGCCGGTCAGCATGGACGAGGTACGTCCTCCGTTTTATCTTCGGATTGCGGGAGCCTGACTCAGGTTTGTAGGACAACAACGAGGTCGTGAGGACATGGCATCCCGATGGTCCCAACGGCCAGGTCGAGAAGAAGGCCGGTATCCTCGCACATCATGAGGTTCTCCTCCGTCTGGACGCGATGGATCTTGAGCGCGGTATGACATGCGTTCATATACCCCGCTTAGCATCGAGCTCACTTCGTTACAGGCGCGAAGATCTCGGGTCACCGAGGTTACTTCCTTACAAACGACGGAGTAGATCTTAACCAGGCGCTTATCTCGTATGCTCTTGACTTCTTGCGCAAAGATGGCTACAAGAAGATCCAGCCACCTTTCTTCATGAACAAGGATGTTATGGGCAAGACCGCTCAGCTGGACCAGTTCGATGAGGAGCTCTACAAGGTATGTCTAGTTGTGAGTCTACAATCGGCTGCAAAACTAATACTATGGCAGGTCATCGGCAGCGACGACGAGAAGTACCTCATTGCCACTTCTGAGCAACCTATCTCCGCCTTCCACAGCGACGAATGGTTCGAATCTCCCGACACCCAACTCCCGGTCAAATACGCCGGCTACAGCACCTGCTTCCGCAAAGAGGCCGGCAGCGCCGGACGCGACATGTGGGGCATCTTCCGCGTGCACCAGTTCGAGAAGGTCGAGCAGTTCTGCATCACCGATCCGGAGAAGAGCTGGGAGATGTTCGATCGCATGGTCGCCAACTCCGAGGGCTTTTACCAGAGCTTGAAGATCCCGTACAGGCTTGTCGCGATTGTGAGCGGGGCGCTGAACTTGGCGGCGGCGCAGAAGTTCGATCTGGAGGCGTGGTTCCCGTTCCAGGGTGGATACAAAGAGCTGGTCTCGTGCTCGAACTGCACTGACTACCGTACGTATCGCTTCATAACGTATCGTATAGAGCATTCCGCTGATACATTGTACAGAGAGCAGGAGATTGGAGGTACGCTGCGGTCTGAAGACGAAGGAGCAGACGCGCAAAGTCTACGTGCACATGCTCAACGGCACGATGTGCGCTACCGAGCGCGCGCTCTGCTGCATCGTCGAGAACTACCAGACACCCGACGTGAGTCACCATGACCGATGCAAAGGGGGAATGAAATACTCACATGCGCGTAGGGTCTTGTTGTCCCGGAGGTACTCCGCCCGTACATGCAGGGCCGCGAGTTTTTGCCGTGGGTGAAGGAGTTGCCGAAGGGCATGCAGCGCAAGTCGGCTTGAGGGGATCGATGATGTCTGTGTTCGGTCGGATGTGTGTATTCTTACTGCGTCTTTCATGTAGAAGTAGACAACGAAAATGTATACCAGACCTTCTATCGATTGACGCATCAATTCTGCGTCTTGTCTGAAAGCCGTCGCAATGACAGTACCAGTGAACGAATCTCGGGACAACGCTGAACGATCTGCGGAGCAACCTCGCCCGAGCGAAGCTCTTGCTCCCCTCTGGTCGAGGGCGCCCCCGCGACCTGAACTCCAAATCACGGGCTAAACGCGATGGGGCAGAGGGTAGCGAGAGCTTCGTACGGACGTGCGCTGCAGCCGAGGTAGACCGTGGCGATAGAAGTGCAAAGGCTAAGCAGCTCGAAGCATGGTGGAGTGGTAGGGCGTAGCAAGATGCGGATTCGGGCCCGGGTGAGAGGGAAGTCACGTAGCCGGGTTTGGCGACGCATCCATGACGACCTGCCCGCTACATGTCCGCGGCGATACGATGGAAGGTGGTAAGAGGGAAGCCGGGGAAGTCGCATAACCGGGTCGAGCGACGCATACGGGACGAGCCCGAGGAGATACGATGATAAGATGAAAGATCAGGCCTCAGGAGGTGACGGCGCAGCCCTTTGTATATAGTTTGATCTACAGCGCTGCACCCCTGCAACTCTCTGTCGCTCTCCCTGCGTTTCGTCTTGAGACCATGACGAGTCCTGCGGGTAACGAGTGCACGATCGGCAGCAGCTCTACATCTATGCACCACATACAGCACCTACAGGGCTACACGTTTACGTCGCGCAATTCGGCTTCGAAAATGATAGATGAAGAACTGGGCCGATAAAAGCCGAATGTTGGCAGGAGATGGTCCCGAACCAACGCCGAGTCACTTCCAGCTCTGCTTTGCTTTCTGCGACCATGAAGTACTTTTCGACTCGGGGCGGTGAGACCCAGCTATCCTTCGAGGAGGTCAGCTCCATATGCCGTGTCATCGCGCTAGTCGCTGAAGAGAGCCTCATAGGCCGTCCTCACCGGTCTCGCGCCTAACGGCGGACTTTACATTCCTGCCTCGATCCCATCTCTCCCTGCCAACTGGGAACAAGACTGGGCGAACTACTCCTTCCAAGAACTCTCAGTGGCTGTGCTGAGTCTGTATATCTCACCCGAGGAGATCTCGCGCGACGAGCTACGCCAGCTGGTGGACAAGTCCTACAGCACGTTCAGGCATCCGGATGTCGCACCGATCGTCCGTCTGCGCGATGATCTATACGTTCTGGAGCTGTTCCATGGTCCCACGTTTGCGTTCAAGGACGTGGCGCTTCAGCTTCTGGGCAATTTGTTCGAGTTCTTCCTGCTCCGGCGTAACGCGCGTAAAGCGCCTGGGGAGCGCCCTGAGAAGTTGACGGTGGTGGGCGCGACCAGTGGAGATACCGGCAGGTACGTGACTATCTCCTATTATACCTAGCTCAAGTCTGACAGACATCATGTAGCGCGGCCATCTATGGCTTGAGGGGCAAGGCGAATGTCGACATCTTCATCCTGCATCCCAAGGGTCGCGTCTCGCCCATCCAAGAGGCGCAGATGACTACTGTGACGGATGCGAATGTACACAATGTCGCCGTGAAGGGCACCTTTGACGACTGCCAGGTATGCCTGTACATCGCTCGCTCGTCATTCGTGTCTGACCTATTCTCTATGAATGTAGGACATTGTCAAGGCTCTCTTTGCGGATCGCGAGTTCAACGACAAGCACCGTCTTGGCGCCGTCAACTCCATCAACTGGGCCCGCATCCTTGCTCAAACAGTCTACTACTTCCTCTCCTACTTTCACGCCAAACGCAAACTCCCCGCCGGATCCACACTGCAATACGTCGTCCCTACAGGCAACTTCGGTGACATCCTTGCGGGCTACTATGCGAAGCGCATGGGTCTTCCTATGGACAAGCTTGTGGTGGCGACGAATGCGAATGACATCCTTGCGAGGTTCTGGAAGTCGGGGAGGTACGAGAAGGCTGATTCGTCAGCGGTGATTCCGGAGGGTGGGCAGGCTGCACCTGCAGACGGGGCGAGCGACGGAAAGCAGGCGGAGGGTGGTGTACGGGAGACGCTGAGCCCGGCCATGGACATCCTTGTTTCAAGTAACTTCGAGAGGTTGCTGTGGTACCTGGCGTTCGAGGCGGCGCCGGGCGCGTCGGAGGCGGAGAAGGCGAAGGAGGCATGCACAACACTCGACGGGTGGATGAGCTCGATGAAGTCGGACGGACGGGTGCAGGTGCCCACGGCTGTCCTCGAGCTCGCGAGACGCGACTTCCTCGCCGAGCGCGTATCGGACGACCAGACTATCGACACCATCCGCGCATTCTACTCTGCGACGCCGGCCTATATCGCTGACCCGCATACCGCCGTCGGTCTTACGGCTGCCGAACGCATCGCACGACCAGGGACGAGCAAGTCTACACTGATCGTTCTCTCCACCGCTCATCCCGCCAAGTTCTCCGAGGCAGTCACCAAAGCATTGAACGGCAGCCTAGGTGTGAACTTCGATCGCGATGTCTTGCCGAAAGAGTTCGTGGGCTTGTTGGAGAAGGAGAGGAGGGTGATTGATGTGGAGGCACCGAAGGTTGAGTTGGTCAAGGAGGTTGTGGAGAAGTATGCGCAGAAGGTTGAGGGCGGCGCTGGGTCGGGGCCGAGTGTATGATTTAGGCGGCGGAGATGAAGACCAAAAGCACACGCCATTGACGTGCATACATGTATACTAGATGCCAATGTATCAGCCCATCTTTGCTGAAGTGACCGGCAGTTTGGTCGGGGGACCGACAGGTTGAACATGCGTCGCCGCCGCATGGGTTTGGGCTCCAAGCTCCTGGGCGGCTTTCGTTGAGCGCGCCCAAAGCTATCTCTTGTCTCGCGCCTTGTGACTTCATATCTCCTAAAGGACCTTTCCCTCCTATGATGTGACAACCGTAACGATGCGAGCCTGACAAGCCAAATATAAGCAGGGCTGCAGGAATATATTCGGGAAGTTGTGGGCCTGGTGGTTGGCCGGCGATCATCACGTTCGGCACGGCAAGCGCCGCGATGGGCGCAATGAGGTTGAGGCAGCGACTTCGGCTACCACACGGGTTACAACCCACCACCATCATGGCCGATCCTCCCCGCCTGCACATTCCTGTCGCGCAACAGTCTTTCAAGCGCTCCTTCGAGGAATTTGGCTTTGATCTCGACTCGCCACAAGAGTCGAATATAAACGAAGCGTCCGGTTCAGGGTCGGGCGCAGCCTCGGGCTCGGGCTCGGGCGCCAACCACGGTGGAAACGGGAACAATGGCGGGAGCGAGAGGAGCAAGCGGCAGAGAAGCGACGATCCGAACGCGAGCACCAGCGACGGCGGCTCTGAATATATGTCCTTCTCGGCGTCCGAGGCCTCCGACTCGTTCGTATCGCTCCCTGCCGGTCCGTCCGAGCGCTCACTCAGCGGCGGCGCCGGCCCGTCCAACCTCAGTACTGTCTGGTCGCCGCCTGATCTGGATAGCCACTGGGAGGATGTGGACATGCTCTCGGCATCTCTGCCCGCTGAACCACTGGCTGGTCCCAGTACTTCGGCTGCCCAGCCTGCAGGGGCGGTGGCCAGGGAAGACGAGGAGCCGAACAGCTTCCAGCGCTCAATCGAGCGCTTCAACGAGTTCAATTCGAATATATCTATCATACGCCCTTCGCGCTCAAGGCCTAGCAGCCCTCCACCTGTCCTGCCGCCCTTATCTCTCCCGCCGTCCGAGCTTGAGCCCGTCGACAGAGATGATACAGCTACACCTGAGCCCGAATCCTCGATAACTGGTATTCCCAGTATCGCTGAGATGATTTCAAGCCGGAGTGCCATGGGAGAGTGGATACGCGCGAGACGTAGAGGGAATCCACGCGCCTCGTTCCATGATCAACCACTATCACGCTCGAGCTCCCCCGGCGGAAGCGTGTCACGCACGAGCGTTCCAAGGCCATCTTCAGCAACGCGAGTACGCTTTGCTGAGACTGCGCCCGTGCCCGTACAGCCGTTCGAACGTGCATCTCAAGGCCCTCCCTCAACCCTCGATCACCAGCGAACCGGCGAGCGCGGACATGACGCACAACGAGACGGCAACATACGATCAAGCGTCTTCACGGAGGTCGCAAGGCGTTCGTACGCTTCATTCGGAGCGCCATCCTCGTCTTCGAGCAGCGCCCAGCCGAGCCTCCGCAGGGAAGGTCGGGGTTCGCCGAGTGGTGAACCTGCTATCAGGTCCAGAATACGATTTGCCGACAGTCCACCGGTAGACAATGAGACAGATGAGGAGGTTGACGCCGTAGTCGTCGCCGATGCTGGCACCTTGCGACGTCGAGAGGAGCTCGAGGCGATAGACGAGGTCTATGCGCTTATGCATGAGGATGAGGCGAGGCAGGATGATGCCTCTCGACCCCCGCGACTACCGTCGCCGGATGTGAGGACAGCCCACGAGCGACGTCAAGAGGCACGAGAGCGCCGAAGGATAAATCAAGCTTTCGCGCTTATGCGTGACGACGAGGCCGAACGCGCCGTCCCACCGCAGGCTATACGCTTACCATCCCCTGTGGCGCTAGCCCATGGGCAACGTCAACAAGACCAAGTTTTCGCGCTCGTGCGTGCTCTAGCGGCCAGGCGCGAAAGCGAAGAAGCCTCACGTCCCCCTCGATTACCGTCGCCCGCAGTGTCCGGAGACCACGGTAAGCTCTTCTCTGATGTCAACAAATCTCTCATGGCTGACACGATCTCACGACACAGACTCAGACTTCGAGGAAATACTGTTCAGAGGGCCTCTCGCTGACCACACGGGGAGTACTTCGACATTAAGCAGCTCGGAGTCGCGCAGGTCATCAAGCTCGGCGTCTCTTGATGGGACGACGGCTGGGTTACTAGCGAGGAGACATCGTGAGCGCCAGGCAGTTCGACACGCAGGAGCGAGATCAAGTCAAGGGCCCTCCAGTTCAGGCCAGGCAGCTATGCGCGTTGCCTTCCGCACTCTTTCTGAATCACCGTCGCCTACGCGATCGGGGAGACGGGTATCCTTCGTCCCTTCGCCCGCGATATCGCGCTCGCGCTCCCCTTCTCTCTCTGCACGAGCACCCTCTCGAACCTGGACGTATTCGGATCTACCATCGAGCGCGGGTTGGGTGGAAAGATCGCAGCGCACTGATGAACTCCTCGGTCGTGTGAACACCGTGACAAACACTCTTCGACAACGCCGTGCTCAACTGGACGCTGAAGTAACGGAAGAATTGCAGGCACGTCGACTTCGGGACAGAGATCAAGAGGAACGGGATTTGTGGCTGGAGCGAGTACACTCCAGAGGTCCTGAACGTCTTCCCATGCCAGAACCATTGGTAGACTCTGATGAGTCCGACATTGACCGGGAGGTACAAGAGTACGAGACTTATCTCCGGAGAAGGAGACGTCCTGCTTCTGCGCGACCAGCGGGAGGCATCCGAAGAGTCGCCTCAGGCCGCGAGCGTGAGGCACCAAGTGGCAGCCGGGATAGGCGGGATGTTCGGGTGCCCACGCCTCCGCCTGTACTGGAGGACATCGGCGTTACATCCCGCCGGCGTGCGGACAGCGGGGATAGCTCCTTCGAACAGCTCATGGCAGACTGGACTACGCCTGCTCCCGGTCTCGTGCGACTCGAGCGCTCCTCGCAGAGTACCAGTGATCGCTCATCTGGTCTGCGCTCTGCGCCGCCCGAGCGTACACGCTCACCTTCCATCTCACCCATAGAGCGCTTCGAGGCGTTTGTCAATAGGGATGTAAACGTGCTTCATCGTCCGCCTCCGGCTTCGGCTAGCGAAGAGTTCGTTCGCTCGACGCACGGCGATGCCATGAGCCCTCCTCGACTTGACTTCCGCGATGAACCGCTGTCCCCACCGTTGGCCGCCGTGCTGCCCGAACTATCGCCAGAGCTCGATGAGGACCGACGTGTGCATTTCCGTACACCCAGCACACCGTCCCGTATGAGCTTCTCGGATCGCCATCATCCGGAAATGCTCTGGGAACCGCGGGAAAATGCCGGCGCTCCCCGTGAGCGTCCGAGCTCTTCAGCGTCAATGCGGCCGCCGACGTTGCAAGGGTCCTCTAGAGGGCATCGCAGCGGTCCCACGCCATTCGTTCCCCCTCCGCGTCCATCCACTGCTGAGGATGTAACGCGTTCTGACGACCACATCATACACCCGCTCCTGCGCCGCCGCTCGACGACTCGCAATACAGCTGGCAGGCCCACGACGCAGCCCGCCTCGAGCGCAAGACATCGCCCGCCGTCTGTCGCGACTCTTCGTGAGATGTTGATACCAGAGCTGGATCTGGACGATGATTGGGCGTTCCAGTCGGAGTCCGCCGAGTGGGGTCCGGAGGTCTTTCCGCTCAGTTCTGCCTCCGAGCTCAGGCGCCGGAGCATGAACAGCGCTCCTCGGAGATCCAGCCCTCAGCGTACAAGCCCATCCGTCTCGAGAAATGCGGTGCATATCGCTCATCATCCGCGCCCACTCTCGCCCATCAGCGTCGTTGATGACGGGCCTCCCCCTCTTAATTTCGTCGAACAAGGTCGTGCAGCTCGCGAGTCTATGCCCGCGTTGTCTCCGTATCATCCACCACAATGGCCACGAAGCTCAACTTCGAGGTCGGCGAGCGAAATGTACGCAAGAGCCATGCGCGGAGATCCTCCCTCCAGCTTTTTCTCGGATGCATCAGGAAGCAACTCTTCGGCGCCTAGCGAGTCTCGCGAGTCTGGCTCCAGGACGTCTGATCCCCGCCGACGGACCCAAGTCCGCGATCCCTTCCCTCGCGGCTATGGAGAGCGTATACCTGCGCCCGGTAGCGCCGAAGCCAGACGTCTACGTTCAAGCCCACCTCCCGCTCCTCCGCCTCCGCGTCGGCGCGTCATTTTGGGCAGTAGTGTAACTGCAACAAGGACCCGCAGTGCGGCTGTGGAAAACCTGGACGAGCTCATTGGTAGATCTCGTCGTCAGCGCCTGTCCGCTGAATCGTCGAACGCTGCACAGAGCGGAGAGGCTCCGCCCTCACTTCCGCCTCTGCCAACGCTCGATGTGGATCTCAACCCGGTGCCCTCTGCGCCGACGGAGCCACGATCAAGTTCGAGTATGGATGCATCACCTCCCCCCTTGGTACGTCTGGTAGCTGTACGATCGCATGCCTCAATGCTAAGATGTCTTGATTCTAGGATGAGCCTCTCGCCTCTGAGCTTCGGCGGGGCCAAGAGCGTCATCAGCAGCGTATTCGGGAGATGCAAGAGGCGGCGCGTACTGCGCGCATGCAAGCGATGCATGCGGCCAGCGAGTTGCGCCAACGTTATCCACCAACGACATCGCCCTCTGGAGAAGCGGACGAAGTACACTCGACATTGAACCGCCAAGCCTCGCGCCGTGGCGTTACGCCATCGACCGAGATACTCGAAGACCTGTTGCGATCCCGCCGGGAACTTGAAGTTGGGCAGTTGCCTGTTCTGCGACTCGGTGGTGGTGGTTCTCCTGCTTGGGGAGAGGTCGCGGCGGGCAGCGATCATACATCGGCCCGGCTGAATGCTACGCGCGCTTTCCTTCGTCGTGGGCGCTTCTCTATCGGACGAGTAGGCGAGGCACCACGACTCATAAGACCGTTCTCTGATTTCATGGTCCGTCCTTTCCCACGCTGCACCTTTACGCATGTCGCTCATCTTTGTTCCCACAGCGTGACGAGGACTTCGACTCTAGCTATGAGAACCTGCTCCGTCTCGAGACTCTTATCGGCGACGCGCGACCACGCAGGACTGACGAGGCTACGCTCAAAGCTATGCCGAAGGGTAAGTACGCAGAATGGAAGCGTGAGGGTAGTGATGAGCGCTGTCCCATCTGCCTCGACGATGTGAGTGCATCCTCTTCCATCTGCTATATCTAGTTATTGATGGTCCACAGTATGCACCAGATGACGATTTGCTTAAAGTTCCGAGCTGCAATCATTGGCTTCATCAAGGTTGCCTTGAGCAATGGCTGCAGAGTGCATCGACTTGCCCTGTGTGTCGCGGTCGCGTGGGCAACAATGCAACTGCATCTGGTTCTTCAGCGCGGACGCAAGCAACGTCACGTGTCACTATGCGCCGTGACACGTTGTACAGGCGCGCGATGTACACGCCGCCTGAGGACATTGAACGCGCACAAGCTGGGCGTCGTAGCGACCCAGCAGGTCCACGCCGCTCCGTTCCTCGCACTACGGTCCCCCCTACTCGCCCTCCGGCTTCGACCTCGATGCCTTCCGGTCCACCAACGTCGAGTACACGACTTCCTCCTCCTCCTCCTCCTCCCTGGGCCGTCCGAATGCGCCCCCCACACCGCATGAGTCGACAATCTGAACCAATTGATCTCACCCTTGACATGTCCGACGAAGAGGGGACTGATGTTGAATTCATGATTCCTCCATGGACGGGCAGAAGGTCTTCGACGAACCGGGGAGATGGGTCCACCACCTCCGGGCCCTCAACGTCGACTCCGAATGCGACAGAAGCCGCACCGGCTCCTTCGACATATATCCCTACACCGGCCTTCATACCCGTAACAGCGCTACCTACTCCCTCATCACCAACCACACCTTCTGTGCCGGTAGAACTGCCGGATATTGAACCCCCTGCACCTGCTTCGGCCCCGGCAGATTGGACACCCGACGGCATGGATGTGGACAGTGACGACGACTTGTATTTCTAAAGGTGACGGTCGACCGCACCGAGGTATACTTTCTTTTCCTTATATGATCTCTCGACCCCAGCCTAGCACCATGTATCCATATAACTTATCTCAGGACGTCAAGCTTGCATACCGAAATATATATCACTCTCTTTCGCCTGACCGTGGGATGTTTCATGGGTCATACGAACATAGCACAAGTGCGCAAGACCGGAGAAAATATCCAATTTTCGATGAACATGACGCAACAACCGGTGGAAACTTTGTTATAGTCCTCGTATTCATACATTGAGTAGTCCATCCTTGTGATTCGTTTCTCCATCCCTATCCAAGTGTATCACAATTGCCATTTATTAGTTGCCTGCTCTCGGGAGTATCAGCGCAGTATCATCGAGATAGTCATAAGCAGACGTACCGCGGCCGCCAAACTTCTCAAAAGCGTTCTCAAGCTGGTCGCCAATCTTGTCGGCCGTGTTCGAGTCCTGTACGCCTGTCAGCTTCCATCATGAACGAACGCGCGGACAATATCAACGCACAAGGTTGTAGCCGGCCTTCTGTGCGGCCCAGGAAACGCCCTTGTCGAACACGTCGGGGTTGTTGCTGTTGCTAGTTGGCCTATCAGCCGAGTCCTGATGAGGTAACGAAGGACACGTACCTGTTGGAGGACTTGTTGCTCGAGCCATAGGAGTCGTTGTTGCTTGAGCCGCGCGAATCGTTGTTGCCTGAGCCATACGAGTTGCTGTTGTCGCTCGAGCCATAAGAGCTCTGGTTGTTGTTGTTGCTTGACTTGTTCTCGGACGAGCCATACGAGTTGTTACCCCCCGAAGAGCCGTAAGAATCGTTGTTGTTGTTGCGGCCCGAGCCGTAAGAGTCCTCATTGTTGCGTCCCGAGGAACCGTATGAGCTGTCGTTGTCGTTGCGGTTGGAGGAGCCATAGCTGTCGTCGTTGCCGCGCGAGGACCCGTACGAGTTCTCATTGCGCTCGCCGCCGGAAGAGCCGTAGCTATCGTTGTTGCGGCCAGACGAGCCGTAAGAGTCGTTGTTCGATGAGCCGTAGGAGTCGTTGTCGCGACCGCTCGAGCCGTAGCTGTTGCTGTTGCTGTTGTTGTTGTTGCGGTCCGATGAACCGTATGAGTCGTCGCGGGATGACCCGTAGCTATCGTTGTT